GACCTCCATAACGCCCGATGCCTACATCCCCGTCATCGCGGTCCCGATACGCACCCACATCCTACGGTTACGGCCACTACGCCCCGTCCCGACTCATCTCGAACCGTCCCGGCCCAAAAGACTGCGGATCATCTGCGGATCATAAAACGTCGGCGGCTCCTCCACCTCCTTCTGCGCCGTTCCGCAATCGATCTCAAAGCCCGCGTCCAGCAGCCTCGCAAACGTCCCCTTCCCCTCGTCCACGGCCCCGCCGCTGTCGCCGATCGCACCGCCGACATGACGACCACTCTCGCCAGAAAGCCAAAGCGCAGGACGGGCGCCGCGGACAGGGCGACGGCGGACTACGCCCAGGGCCAGCGGGCCCAGGGGTCGCGCGAGACCGCGAGGCGGGCGCACCAGCCTGGCACGCGGGCGAGGTCGGCGAGGAGGAGGGTCAGCATGAAGGGGATGTGGGCGCGGGCGCCGAAGAAGGAGTTTGTCGTGGCGTCGCGGCACGAGTAGAGCGTGCAGATGGTCAGGGTGCCGGGCATGACGGCTGCTGACGAGCCACGAGCGGGCCAGGTGAAGGAGCGGGCGCGGTAGCAAAGAGAGGGGCAAGTGAGAGAGCAAACCGATTTGGACCTCGTGTCACGGCAGCAGGGTAACGGTCTCGATCAAGCGTTCGGAGACGATGGTCGTACGAGGACCATGAAGCTGAGGGCAGCCATGTCGTTGGTTTATCATTCGACGCCCGCATCTAGACCCTGCAGTTTGTCACCGAGACCCCTTGTGACACATTGTGTGATGCTGTTTTCGTGAGAGGCTCCATGTGCTTGGCTGGATCCTAGGCCATGAGGATAGCATGGGTTCCTGCGCCGAAGGATCAAGCACAATCTGGCTGAGCGCCCCTGACCCGGATCACCATCTGGCGAGGACCTTCGGTTGGAAAGATATGGTTTGAGATCTCGAATTGTCGGTGCTCAGCCCAACGAGGCACCTTGGCAGCTTACTGTCATGTCCAATGGAACAAAGACACCAGCCAGCACTCATCTGCTGGACCTGTGGCTACGAGCATGAATTCGTGGCCCTTGGCCTTGGGCTCAAAGGAAGCTCTTCTGAGTTCTGGCAAGAATCCTGTACCTTGGCCTCGCTAACCCCAGTCATCATATACGCGTGTCTTGTAGAGAAGTCGAGTGCAGTCATCGTGACCATGATTCCATTAATACTATGAACCGAGACTCCCCCCTTCATTATTATGCGCGCAAGGGCGCAATGGTATCAACCAGAAGAGCCTTTCTCGTAATGTAACACACACCAAAAAATGAACATAGAAGTGCGGGAGGGCGTCCTCCTGCAGAAGTCTCTCGCCCGCCAAGCTCCCCTTCGGACGTCAACCACGTTTCCTTCCCCAAGGCCCAACGTTTACAGGCCAAACACGGCAGCCATGACACCCAAGCCAAGAAGGCCAACGGGGACGGTGCTCATGATGGCGGCAGCAGTAGGCACGGGAACGAGGCTCTCGCTTTCGGTCGGCTCGGGCACGACACCCGTGGGCGCCGGGACGCCGGGGACGCGGCTGGAAGTGCAATTGTCGCCATGTCCGGGCTTGGGGGGCTGCGGCAGAGATCCTCCAGCCTTGAGCTCAAAGTTGGCGCACGTGATGCGCGTGAGGTTGCTGCTGAAGTGAAGGACGAAGCTGCGGTTGCCGAAGAAGGAGCCCTGGCCCTCGATGAGAGACGAGTAAGGGTCGACGTAGGTGGCCTCGAAAGGGTCGTCGGATGACTCAACGAAGCCGTGCTTTCCGGCAAGATCACCAACCTCGCAGGTCTCAGGGGCCTCGGGGTTGCAGGGAATGGCCTGGCCGCGCTTGTAAGGGTCAAGATGAGCGCGAGTCGAGGTGCAGTTGCCGTCGGTGGCCGGAGAGTCGTGGATGTGGTAGGCAAAGGGGCCACCTTCCTTGGGCAGGTTCGAGAAAGTGACCTTGAATTCGACACCGACGCCGTCGGGAGCCGAGATGGCCGTGATGGAGCCCTTGACGTTGCCCTCAATGTCGACGCCGGCGAAGAAAGGGTCCTCGGGAAGGACGGCCTCGTAGACGACACCGGGCGGGTTGCCCTCAACGATGGGGGCGTCACCAAGCTCCTGCCATTGTGTCAGTAACGATGGTACCATATCCATAGCCCTGGGCCAAGGGAAACACATACACCAGTGACGGGTTCCTCCTGAGCGGCAACGCGACCGATGGCCGCGGCCATGATAATCGACAGAACCGACTGAGTACGCATCTTGTACGATGAGAAGTAAGACACGGGATGGGAGTGTGACAGTTGTTTTTAAGGTGACGACGATTCGGTCGTGGTAGTATGGAGATGAGGAGAGCACCAAACGATTGGGGGGGGGGGGGGGGGACGACTCGTAGATGTAGGTGGGCAAAGCTAGGAGAACAACCAAAGGGTGATCTTGTAAAACAGAGGATTGCTCCTTCCTAATGTACCAGTAGTGCCAATAAATGAAATCTCTCAGACCAGACCGGGGGGGGGGATCAAGGCGGAGTGGGATGCGCGGGAGTGATTGACGTTCGGTTGAGATGAGGAGGTGTATTCAAAGTGGAGTGGGGGGAAACATTTGTCGATCTTATACCGCAGGCAGAACGGGCCAAGCCACGACAAAGATGACGGGTGCTTTGTTCATCATGTGTGCCAGATGTAACCCGATGGAGCATTTGAGCGCGCCTTGAGCCTTGTACAAGCCGGAGTGCCGTGAAGGGGGCTTAAGCCTGTCTCGTCAAAGTGGCGGGCGAGAAGGACGAGGGGAGGAGGCCAAGGCTTCCTGGACCACAGACCACTGAGCCAAGGAGCGTGAAGGCACACGATCCCATATGCACGGTAACAGACTACTTTGTTAGTGGATGAGCCAAAAAAGAAGGAGGCTGAGCGTCAGCACGGCAGCCCGGCAGCAACAGAGGCAAAGTGAACCCCCATCACACTGCTCGGCGCGTACCACTTTGACATGTCGCCTCTGATTCGAGACATTTGCAAAGACATCTAAGCCTCTGGGCTACACATCTACACCCAGAGACCTCACCCTTCCGAATTCCCTTCACTTGTCCAAGTACATTTCCAAGACCAATAGAGTCTGGTAATTCCTGTGGTCCTGCAAAGGAGTGTAGCAATGCGGCTAGAGGGAGGCAGGCATCCATGCAACTGCCCATCCATCAGGAAGCCGCCCATGTGCCGTCAGACAAGAGGTCGCCTGGCTCCGTCCGAACTACCTAGCGGCAGACCAAGGGAGATCTAAGTTCGTGGGGAGTCCCCTGCGTCGGAGCCCCAGCCGTGTACACACTTGCGTCGCCTGCTGAGCGTGGCAATCGAAGCACCCTCACCTCAAAGACCTGAGCGACCGAGCGGGCAACCAAATTCGCCTGCATACGTGCACGGCGCACAGAAGCCAACCTGAAGCTACAACATGGGACAAACCAACCAAGCCAACCAAGGCGACGCCATCGCGACCAGTGGTTTCATTGGGCCCAACGCGGGGCATGCGTATGCTCTCACTGGGCTCTTGCTACCCTGTTTTGACGAGGTCGAACCTCCTGCAACTCGATCGGCCATGTCACGCCCATCGACAAACTGCCTGCCCACACCAGGGAACATGATAGGGAAGAAGAGACAGATCCGTCTCGCAGGGGCACGTCTTGACGACCGCCCTTTGGAAGGGGTGCAGGACGGTTGGGGGCCACAGGTCTCAGAAACTCGTTGTATGTCGTGGCACGTAGCAGCTTCAATCTGCAGATGCTGGGTTTCCGAGCCGCGTGCGTTGCAGACGAAACAAATAAATCCATATTTGCTGACGGGAGCCCAGCGACGAAGGAACCAAGCAGCTTCGGGGGAAGGATGATTGGTCGGGTGCGAGTGCCCAGGCCGCCATCCCCCCTGTCCATCTTGTGGTCGTCTTGGTTGGTTTGTTTGTTGGAGGAGTCCTGCAGTGTTGGAGGAGTCCTGCAGTCCTGCAGTCCTGCGCCTCCTCCTCCCCAACCCAACCTCTCTTGCCCCCCCTGCCGATGACGCCGCTGGCGGTTCGGCATGCAAGGGGCTCTTGGTTCCGGAGTGGCCAATGGTCGCCAGTGAGTGAGTGGCCTTGGAGCATTGAGGTCAACAGCACAGCGGGACGAAATGGCCGGGTTTTTGCAGCTCACGTTGGGTAGGCCTGTGACTAACATCGGATTGTGCTGCTGATGCCGTTGGCCGCTGTGCGACGCGATGATGCGTCTCGGAAGCTCTGCCATGGATGGGTCTCGGGGGCACAGGCCGCCGGCTGAAGAGAGGGACAACGGACACCGGACGATTGAGTTATTCGGCAGACCGGATGTGATGCATCTCAAGGTTTGCGGAGTCAGTCTCGCTCTGCGCTGAGCGCACGTTCCGCTCTCCGAACGAGTGCGTGGGTATGGAGCGTAGAGCCCGTTAGAACAGATGACGCGGAAATCGTCGGATAGCCGGTGTTCCAGTATCCGGTCAAGCACGTCAATGATGGTGCCAGCACGCCAGCACCACCTGTCAATATCTGTGCGGGTTAGTGGCAATAGAGCAAAGTCAGGGGCTGATGCTGGTGGTCAGAAGGATGAAGGAAGGAGATGATGATGGACACGGTGATGTTCGGTCTGGGCACATTTTCGCCATGTTTCAGTGCGCATCTTGTCCCGCCCTCATTGGATGCCCCAAAAAGTCAGCCCCATGCACGCCACCCAACATCAGCCGTCGGCCCCCAACAATGCACTGGGTTGCAGAGGAAGCTGCAACCACAGGGGGCAACCATTGCTCCTGCCATTGCCAGTCCACTCCCGTCGCGCCTGCTGCCGCCGATACCGCGTCTGGTCATGTTTGCCATCGTCAGAATGACAGCTACAATCATGTTCGAATGGGCACCTGCATTTAGCCTGCTACAGCATGCACATCCAACAACCCGCAATTTGAGGACGTCTTCATATCTACCTAGCTAGGTACCTACCAACCTAAGGTACCTAATGGTAAGGTGCCTTACGAGAGGCAGGCCAACACCTATTACTCTCGTCACCCAACTTCGAAATCACATCTCCCGACAGCCTCTCGGCACGCCTGCCGGGGCGTCGTGTGCCAGCGTCTCACGTTCTCGTCCGTGTGCCCCACGCGATTGTCAGTCTGTCCGGGGCGCTTGACGCCCGCCAGCTCACCTGAACCTCAACCTACAGATAAGGTTGTTGTTTCGCTGATCCCTCTTGGGCGTTTCACGATCGACCACGACGTCTGTGCCCGAATCGAGAGCAAGACTCGACAGCCATATACTACGACCACATGGCACCTCTGCTCTGCCCTACACCCCCTTCTGGCCTGCGGCCCGGCTGCGTCGGCCATGGTCCAACTCCGACAGTCTGGCGCCTCCGTTTCGTGAAGGACCCTTACCGGCGTCCCGGACGCGTCGCCCACGGCACGGCTGGGCCGGTGATCGCGCTGGGTAGGCCTCTCTGACGTGAACGGGCCGAGGACTCTCGGTAGGACTGCTGTGGCGCGACATCGGCTATCCATCGCGAGACATTGTTATTTGCTGTTGACGCTGCTTTCTCGCATTCTCGCACGGCAGAGCGGCTTCTGAGACCAAACGTCGAACAAACTGTGAACATGAGCTAGTTAGTACAGGTAGCTGTCCGCCCCGTACACGTCGAGCACTCGCACTACCTTCACGTCACCCCTCGAAAGTCGGTAACAAGGCACCGATTTATCCGGGGCCCATGACCCTGGATGCAGGACATCGCGGCAGTGTAGCCCGTTTTCAAAAGTTTGCCGGTTCTTGACGGAGTTGAATGTTGCCCAAGCGTTGGCTCGCAGGAGTACCAATCCCAGGCCCTGCTCGCCTTGCACCATCACCGGTATGAGTCCACCTTCGAATGCAGTTGTCGCTTTGATCGGGACGTTGATCGAAAACCCACTTTGGGGGTCATCCGTGTGGCGCCGGAACATAGTGTTGAATGGACCCCGGGTCTGGAGAAACATGCGATCATCAAGTCGAAGTAGGATCACCAGTAGAACCTGCGGATTCATGCCTGTGACGGACACGACTTCTGTAATCGACCGGCATGCTACCTCCCCACGGAGAAAACGATGCCAAGACCAGTATTCGACCCGGACGGCCTTGACTAATACAAGCATGAACGCCGCTAGACCCCAGCAGAAGACGCTGATGTTGAAAGGATCTACACCTTCTATCCTTTTGCCGATGCTGAATCCGAAGGCCAGCCCGCCGATCACGAGGGTAGCCGCAATACCCAAGAAGCTCCAGGCGTATTGCTTGTACGGTACAACGATGGAGTTTTCGTCAACAACCCAGGTGTTATACTCATCTTGGGCCATTTCAAAAATCTTTCTGCGCTTCTCGTTGCTCCAGTTTGACAGGTCGTCTACGGCCGAGGAATCGTCCTCAAATGTCTGCGATACCGCCAGACGCTCGCGGATTCGCGCCCTGCGGTTCCACTCCGATTGCATCAGCTGGTTGACGTCGACGTGTTTCAATAGCACATTTCGGTCGATCATGGTAATATGGTTGACCCGGGAGATATAGTTGCAGTCTTGTCTCATCCGAGGCTTCGATATGTTGACGCATATTTTATAGAGGCTTGGGGGGCGCAGGCGATGAGTATAATACGTCACAAAGTTATTATCAAGCCCTTTTGAGGAAATGCTGCACACGGTGACAAGCTGGTCCAGTCTGACAGTGAATGCGCCGGAAACCATCGAATACGGGATCAAGACAGCAACTATACTCTCCAAGGAAAACAGCTCCCTCCGACTGGACCCTTGAATACGTGAACAAGGCTCAATGTTCATGCTGCATTCTATAGTGACGGGGGAACGAGATCCCACCCTCGCGGGAGGGCGTGGCTGCTCTGCCGCCTCACTGCACTTTCGGTAGACCATAGCAGCAATGTGTCGCGTCAATCTGTCCAAGCCGGCATGACTCCCTGTTCCGATTTCGCCGTCGTAGCCTTTGAAAAGGACCATGACTTCTTTCGTAATGGAACAGTCGTACATTTCCAGTGTTTTTCTCAAATCAGTAGGGGAGCTGATCTGTAGCGAGTTGGGAAGATTCAGAGCAGCCTCCCTGAAGAGATGAACCACATGGCGTTGAAGACTGTCGATTTCGTACCCTAACCAATCCCAACAAGCCAAGGGTATGAGATCGCTGCAGAACTGAGCAATCGAGGATTTCTTCTGTAGCTCAGGGGGAGGGAGACGTAGGTGTCGGTTCATCTGCTTGAGTCTGGCTGTCAGCCTGGCCACCAGAGCAATTAGAATTGGCTTCATGCGGTAGTCGTCAGCGGGCTCTGGTAACACATCGACCAGGGTTGTCGTGAGGTAGTCGATCGCGTCGGTGAAGTACTCGTTGTAGGGTTCGCAACCTGGCGCAAAGGAAGCATCGTGGTGATGAATCTGGGCTTGCAAGCGCGCGAGGCGATTTTTCAATGTATTTCCCTCGCGTTTCTGATTCGTGGGCGGCTCGTCACCACTGTCCATCGCAGTGTCGTTGAAAAGGTCGGGACCCTCGGTATTCGTGCCCAAGCTGAGCTGACACAAGTCGACGAAGAGGAGGATATTTTCGCGCAGAACGCCGAAGAAGACCAGAGCGTTGGAACCCTCGCACTCTACCTTGCTCCGCCATTCGAGCCCTGGTGCACGACGCCGCCTGTACACGTTGTCGGGCGCTACGAGCCTGTTGACCTCGTCTAGCACTAGAACTTGTGCATCTCCATCACTGGCAGGTGCCTCTTGATCCTGCTGCGTAGGCGGTCCGTATTGTGAGGTCGTAGAACCAAGGCACACGGCTTTTGCCGACTCCAGTACTTGCTGCCACAGGACCCAGTCCGCGTCTGTACGTATTGATGGGCGAGGGGAGCCTGGACCATAGGCATCCTGGCATTGACCGTTTGAATCTTCACTATGGATGATAGGGTCTGCGCCCTTGAGAGCTGGCGGGTCATTGGCCGGCGCTGCCATGATGTTTTGCAGGTCGATGGTCGATGGCTCACGGGCTGCGAGCCTGGGGCCTGTGCAGAGCACATAGGCGACAAGTCTTTAGAATAGGAGCAGACACGGCCAGGCTGCGTTGACAACGCAAGTTGCAGCCTGGCGCCTTATATGGTCAACAGAACTCAGCTCGCAACATGCCAGCCTTGTTCAGACGCATCCTGCCGTCGGTCTTAGCTGCATGGTATGGATCAATGTGACGCGCTGGATAAGGAGAACAGTTCCAATCAGATGATGTGGTGAGGCCACCATGTTATGGTATCCTAGACATTGCAGCTGAGTGCGGCCGTGGCTGTGAGCCGACGTGCCTAGGTACACCTGAGGTACCTCCCTAGATACCATAAGGCATGGTAAGCAAGGTAGAGATCAGTACCACAGGAGGTCGGGCGCCAGAACCGGGCTGTGCCTTTCTCAAGCGCACCCCAAACTCCATGCAGCAGGCGAACGAAAAGGTCTGCGATGTTGCGCTGTCGAGGATGCCCCTCCGTCATGGCAGTCCAAGGAAGCTCTTCGCTACGTCGGATGCGTCTCGGATTCGGGACCATTTGTCCATTTGTAAATGCCAAGTCGTATTTCGCGGGGAAAGCGAGAGCGCGCACCGAGGTGGGTGGGTAAGATTACCAACCATCAGTGACCAGGTTGAAAAGGGGGCAGAGCAGGTAGGTCCCTTATTTGCGTTTAGATGTATTGAATGCTACAGAACGCATGTGCCCGCCGAAGCACGAATCGGGGGGTGCTACTGTGGGCGGAACACACGGCACTTTCCAGGGCGTTGATAGCGCTCATGAGCCCCCGCTCTTCACTTGCCTCAAGGGTCTTTGGCTACCTACCTACTGAAGGTTGTTCGTTCCTTCCCTTCCAGATGACACGGACGGGACATTCACGTCGTAATTTTAAACCTCGCTTCTCTTCCCTCCATTTTCCCTTTTCACCATTCATCCCACTCTTGGCTCTGCTGCTCAACATCCTCCTTGCTTCGTCTTCTCGATAGACCACTTTGAGCGATGGGCGCGGCAACTTGGGTCTCGTTGCTGCTGCTCCTGCAACCCTCCACCTCGAGAGCGGCAGGGGCAGGCTACGCGCCCTACGCCGACAACTCGCTGCTCTACGACTGGGGCGTGTATGGTGCCTATCCCCAGGTGCACTACGAGTCGCTCGGGGCGTCGTCGCCCTGGCCCAACGTCCTCCGTTCAGACCCCAAATGCGATGACGGCTTGCTCTTCATGGCGCCCCGCGGCCGGTCAGTGCAGACGCCGGGGCCCATGATCCTCGACCAGCAGGGAAACCTCGTGTGGATGAACACGGAATGGGGGCAGGCCATGGACGTCAAGGTGCAATCGTACCAAGGGGAAGACTACATTACCTTTTGGCATGGAACCGACAACGGCACCTTCGGCATGGGCTACTACTTGATGGTGAGATGCGAAATCCCATTCCCTCGTCCGAGCAGGAGGACATGAGGGGACCAGAAGAGTGAACAAAAGGTCTAATGCTCACCAGCTCGATTCCTCCTATGAGGTGTTCAAGAAAATTGTGCCGGTCGGTGACTTCACTGGCGACCTCCACGAGTTCCGCATCACAGACCACGGCACGGCTCTCATGACCATCTACGAGAAGAGACGTGGGGATCTTTCCGCCTACGACATTGCTGACGGCTGGCTCATTGACAGCCTCTTCCAAGAGGTCGACATCGCCACGGGTGAGCTGCTCTTCCAGTGGCGAGCTTCAGATCACTTCGCCGTCGCCGCGAGCCGCGCCCCCATCGGCAAGTTCGGCCGCAAGGAGCCCACGGCATTTGACTTTTTCCACATCAACAGCATCGACCAGGACGCCATGGGCAATTACCTAGTGTCGTCACGCTACATGTGTGCCGTTGTCTGTATCGATGCTAGGAACGGTCAGGTGCTATGGCAGCTTGGTGGAGCAGCCAACAATTTCACGGATCTCTCGGATGGCGCGGCCACCTCCTTCTCGTGGCAGCACCACGCCTCTTGGGTTGACGAAAGTACCATTTCCGTCTTCGATAACGGTGCTTACGATAGGCTCCGCACGAGTAAGCATAGCAGCGGTCTCGTCATCGCCCTCGACATCGCCAATCAGACGGCCGAGTTGAAGCAGAGTTACGTGTCACCCCAGAAGTTCTCTGTTGGTTCGCAGGGTTCCGTTCAGACACTGCGAAAGTCTGGCAATGTCCTCGTCGGCTGGGGTCACACGCCTGCCTTCACCGAGTTCTCGTCTGCAGGAAAAGCGCTATGCGACGTACACATCGGCGCCGTGCACCTAGCGCGACTCGGCTGGTGCAAGAACTATCGGACCTTCAAGTACCCCTGGGTTGGCAAGCCGAAGACGCGGCCGACTGTTGTCGTGAAGCCCAAGGAGGGGGCATTATATGTCAGCTGGAACGGTGCCACACAGGTCGATCAATGGCGACTCCAGAGCAGCACAGAACCGGGCGGAAAGCGCTTCGCTGATCACGAGGTGATTACGAAGGAGAGCTTCGAGACGAAATTCGAGATTCCCAAGGAAGCCGCGGAATATGTGCGCGTCGCTGCCATGGATCTTGACGGTACGGTCTTCGCAACGTCGATGCCCATATCGAGATATTTTGCGACGGAGATTCCTCTGATGAAGGCTCCTTCACGGGGATCGCCAATCTCCATATCATTTGTCGTCGAATTTTCCATCCTCGCCCTCCTCGCCATTGTGGGCACCTGGTACTTCAGATCTGTCGTACGGCAGCGTCTAACGCATGGCGTCGACTGGGTACAGAGACACCGCCGAGCCATGGCGTATGGAGAGGAGACCAAGTACGAGGCCCTACCTTTACAGGACCAGCGGTGATACATTGACATCGGCATAACTTCTTGTACATATTTAAGTCCACGGAACTTTCATTGAGACCTTGGAAGGACATTCATTTTTGCATCTTCGTCGGCAGCAAGGACGGACACTCACTATCTAGCATTTCTTCATCATCAACCTCAGCATAGACACTAGCGATCATTTTTAATTCATCATTTCGATATTCATACTTCTACTCCTCCTCACCCTCCAGGACTATCTCGTGCCCGGTCCCCTCGTACACCCACAGCGCCGAGACGGAACATAAGACAGCCACACCAGCGACCCCCCACCAGCCTATGATGACGTTTCCGGCATTGAGCCCCATGCCGTACAGCCACCCGGAAGCCACAGGCCCGACGGTCCGGAACCCTGCAGCAACGCTCTGCCCGAGCCCGTGAATAGTTCCGAGCACACTGGGGTGTGGACTGCCATTGTTTAGCAGCATGATGCCAGCCGGCATGGTGAACGTCCTCGCGAGGACCTGACACGCGGCAACGAGGGTGATGCCGACCCACATGACGAAGCCCCCCAGTGCGGCGGGTGACAGGACAGCGAGCATGGGCGCGAGAAGGTAGGCGACAGAGAAAAGCGGCAGAAAGTAGCGATAGGAGCGCAGAGTGCCGAGGCGGGCCTGCAAAGGTGGATAGAGAGCGAGCTGCAGGGGCAGGCCGAGAAGGCCAAGGAGAGACATGCCGAGGCCGACCTTGGGTGCGGAGAAGGCCAGGCCGCCGGCGAGTGGGGCTGATCCGGAGGCGGGGCGCGGCGTCGAGAGGAAGAGGGGCCAGAGGTTTGCGAAAGCGCCGAGCTGGAACTCGAAGAGGGCTGTCGTCAGCAGGATGAGGATGACGTTGCGGGTCCAGATACGGTGGAAGGGGAGCTTCTGCCTCGTCTTCTGGCGGCACTGCCGAGTTGGTTGGTTGGTAGCTGGCACCTCGGCGGTGTTCAGGACGATGCTGTCTTCTTCTCCCAGACCAAGATCGGAGGTCTCTACGCGCGAGTAACCTGAAGACGACGGAGCGCCGGACAGTCTACTTCTGATGCGGGCGGCGATGGCCAGGCCCAGGTCATACCCGTCTTTCCTCTCAGGAGACGTCTCCTCCAGACAGAAGAAGACGAGCCCCGAGACGAGGGTCAGGAAGACGGCATTCAAAAGACTGGGCAGAGCATAGGGGTATGCCTGGATCCATCGGAAGCCGAAGATGGCATCTCGACCGAAGAAGCGCGGCAAGGTAGTCGGCGCATCGGCGAGGAATCCTCCCATGGCTGACGGCGTCAGTTCGATGATGGCGTTCTCTGAAGAGGGGCCGCGAGACTTACGTGGGCCGATGACGTTGGCGACATTGAAACTCAGCGGCAGCAACAAGAATGCTCTCGACTGAAATCTTTTCTCCGCAACATTCTCAGCCACCATGGTTCGTCTGTTCACACGTCAGCCGCGCCCCGTCTTGAAGGAACCTGTTGTCGTTCCGTAACGCAAGATACTCACACGGCGCCAACGGTGCCATTGACGCCCCCGCCGACGATCCGCCAGAAAACGGCCCAGGCAAAGGTCTTCACAAAGGCATACCCGACGCACGAGAGAGCCGTCCCCATGAGGCCTGTCATGATGACAACCTTGCGGCCAGCCCATGGGGCATCGGAGGCCTTTCCCCACAACACTGCCGTCACGACCTGCGCGCCGGAGAAGCAGCCCTGCAAGACGCCCGCCTGCGCCGAGGCCGCCGCATCTGAGAGCCCGGCATCAAAAGACTTGAGCTGGAAGAAGATGTAGGCTTGCAGGGAGGCGACCTGGAGAAAGTCGACGGCGCGGCAGAGGAACAGGATGAACAGTTGAGACTTGCGAGGCAATGAGGCCCAGGTGGCGGGGGCCGGTGCGGGCGGAGTCTGCGCATTCATCACCGCCGGATAGCAACTTCAGTGAGAGGGGAGTGGCCCACGAGATGTCGACTGACGACGGAAGTTTTTTGTGTGTGAGACGGGCATTTTGAGGCAAGAGTCGTCCAAATGTCGGGATGAATCGGCCATGCCCGAATGAGTCAAAGTCGGGATGCGATGCGGGATTAGCTCGTCGGTCACGTCCTCTCCACCCCACATCCCGGCTCGGTCTCCCCCCTCTCCTGTCTCCTCCACACGCGTACGGGGACTGACGATCTACATCTCCAAACACCTGGCGCTGGAGTTCTATCGCCAAGGCGAGGAACCACTCAATTGCTCCGCTTAAAACTTGCTTGAACTCGTTCGCCAAGCTGCCAAGGTGTTGGGATCCATGGCCCCTGTGCATACGGCGGAGATGGTCTTTCTTTGCTCGAAGGGTCGGAAAGGGGGAGGGCATGCGAAAGTTGGAGGGAGTATCCAGATGGTTAGTTCAGGCCAGGACGAGGAAGGATAGGAGGCGGCAGTATTTTCTAGTGAGCTGTATTAATGGCGGCGATCCCCTTTTGTCACTTACTTTTACTTGATTGTTGATAGACTTTTTGGAACTATCTGGCTTCCTGACTCTGCATAGAATACAAGTTTACATGTTCTGTTTTGGCGAGACACCATGGCCTACGCTGCGAGATATCGGCCCAAGCCGGCGACCGACATTTTCACCAACGACACAGACATTGACCGAAGGACATGCTCCCGGACAGTACCCATGAAGGTCCTCCTCCTCGGCCTCGGCCGCACAGGAACAGCGTGTAAGGCTTGACACCATCCTGTTCCTATCTCATGCAATGCTTTATTTCTATGAACAGACAGCTAAAACACCAGAAAACCTCAGCCATGCGCGCAGCCATGCGCCAGCTCGGCTACGAAGACACCTACCACATGATGTCGTGCTCGATAGAGAACCCCCCCGACGCCCTCATGTGGCACGACGCCCTGCTGGCGAAATACCACGGCATCGGCAAGCCCTTCACCCGCGCCGACTGGGACCAGCTCCTCGGCCACTGCCAGGCCGTCTGCGACTGGCCGGCTGCGGCCTTTGCGCCCGAGCTCGTGGCCGCCTATCCCGAGGCCAAGGTGGTGCTGGCGACGCGCGACGACCCGGCGGCCTGGCACGCCTCGACGCTCAAGACGTTCTTCTGGCGCGCCCACGACCCCGCCCTCGCGGCGCTGGCGCGCCTCGACTGGGCCGCGTCCATGTACCAGCCCATGATCCGGCTCTTCTTCGCGACCTTTTTCGAGGACGCCTTTGCGGAGCGCGGGCGGCAGATATACGAGGACCACTGCGCCGCCGTGCGCCGCCTCGTGCCGCGCGAGAGGCTGCTCGAATACCGCGTCAGCGACGGCTGGGCGCCACTCTGCGCGTTCCTCGAGAGGCCGGTGCCCAAGAACATGCCGTTTCCCAACGTGAACGACAGCGCGCTCTTTGTGACGCGCTCGCGCCACCGGAACAGGATGCAGATGCTCAACGTCCTCGTACGGCACGCCGTCTGTCTGCTGGCGTTCGCGGTCACGTTGTACGGCGCCAGCACGCTTTTCCTCTTTCTTCTGCCCGCCGTGAGCCTTGGTGTCGGTGGGCGGAGAGTCGCGTGAGAGAACCTTGGTCGAAGGGGCAGGAGGGTGGGGAAGCCAAAAGGGAACGCTGCTTGCTTCGTGTCCGTGATCTCGGGCCCGGCTGGTGGAGACACATCCACCTCCGTGTGTGCTGGTCCAAAAGAGGAAAGTTGTTCGGACGATTTCTTTGCGGTGTCAGAGTTCTCCTTCTCCAGACCCATGGATCTTTTCGCCTCTTTACATAAACTCAAGATCGCTGTGGATACCAATCAGTCAGTTCAGTGCATTAGTGGACATTTCCCGTTCTGCCTCGTAGTTCGGGCCCCGCAGATGTTCATCCGCGAGATAAACCCCCAGGATGATCGAGACAGATAATTTGCACTGCCTCCTTTATCTTCGGTAAATCACATCACTCTGACATCACGTCTGTCCACTTCTCCGGATTGTCCATCTGGCCTGCGTCTGCTACTTCCATGTCTCGGCTATGCTCCTTGACCGAGGCCGAGGATTAGCTTGTATGGGCTGCAAGACCCAAGTTACTGTTGCCCCCCCCAAAGCAGCCAAGCACATCGATAACCGCCCTTGGCGGGTGGCTACATGAATTTGGTGAAAACCCTACATTAACGAGGCAGGTACGTTCGGTATCGCTCATAGTCTAGTTAGCTCGTTACAAAATAGTGACCGTATATTATGCGAAAGGATAAAAAGAAATATCCGTTTGTGCGACAGTCCAACTCCAACCGAGTGTGTTCTTCCTCCCCTTAAAGATCTGTAGGCTGCCACCGTATGTATGTCTGGCCAGTGATCTATGAACATGCTTAGGTAAAAGAGAAATCCTTGAATTCAGCTACTACAAGCCAGGTGGTGAAAAGGATGACTTGTCAGGCCAATTGCCCAGCTCGGCTGGATCGCCTCCAATGCGGACATACACACCCACTGCGGGAATGCCGCCGTCAAGAACGAAGAACTGGAACCAACCGGGTGGGCATATGCCCGCGTCAGGCGGTGCCGTGACGGTGCAAGTGAGGCCACTACAAGAGACGGATGGTAGAATGGTTCGTGTGCCCATCGAGTTGCCATGTGTTGATGAAACGCCGCCAAGAAGCGTAACAGAGATGGCACCGTTGACCGGGGCACTGCCAAGCGTGAACGTGATTGACTCATCATAGTCCCAGTCTCGGTTCGCGAGCGTGAAGGTTGGTCGGGGCTTGCCGCTGGTCAGGTACGGCGGGTTGAAGACTTCGACGCGATACTCCTGAGGGTTGACACCGTCCTGAGGGTCAGAGCCTGTGACCAGCACGCGACCGTCGAGAAGCGTGATAGACTCCGAGTGATACAAACGCGCAATTGTAGTGTTGGCTACGACCGTGATGCGTGCGCCAACACGCTTCTCTGGATCGTAGATGAGCGCATTCAGATTGGGGAACTCTGCGAGACCGAAGCCTGCCACGCCCTGCTGCGCACCGTTATTTATGAGATATGTTCCATCAGGCAGCGGCGCCATGCAAGACATGACACGGCGCGAGGGCATGCGTTCGATCACCCATTCAGGCTCTGGGGCTTCAGGGTAGATGGTTACACAATTGTCGATGGCCGTTGCCACGCCCTCTGTAGATCCACCGCATATGAGTATACCGAGGGGAGCTGTGTATGGTGCCTTTTGCGGAAGCAAGACGCCAGTACCCTCGAGAGGGTATGTGCGGCCACCCATAGGGTTGTTCACCGTGCCGGGAATTGTCGGCAGGATGGTCAGCGTTTCGAAAGTTGTCTTGTCCAGAATGCGAGCCTCGTTCCAGTAGGCCACAAATATGTTCTCGCTCGGCAAGACTGCACAGAAGGGATACAGGTTGTTCGGGTCGGTGCGTTCCAACCAGTCCATAAACAGCGGTGCCCGTCCCGTGTATGGCAGGACCTCAATGGTGGGAACGGCAGCGCCATTGGATCCCTCTTCGCCACCAATGACGAAAATGGAGCCGTTGGCCATGACCATAGTGGTTGGGTACCATCGACCGTCTTGAAGGGATAGTTGGTTTACATTCTCTTCCCAGTCGTTGGTGCCATTGACCCCTGGCGAACCGTCAGGTGTATAAAGGCGAACACCATAAGTCGAGTCGCCCGACCATCCACCGACTGTGAGTTGACGGCCGGCCTTGTCGGGAAGTATAAGACCAGACGAGCAGAAAATGTCCGTCTTGACGTTCATCTCACGCCATGCGGTGTTCCTGTTAGGCGTCAAGGAGAGGTCCAGCTCGTAGGCACCCGTAGAATTGGCCGGACCAGTTCCCCATTTCTCAAGGAATGTAACCTTCCCCGTGATAGACTCCATTGTCATGAGTGGGATGCAGACGCCTCCAATGAGGAGCTCGTACGAGCCAGCCCTGGCGACGTCCTGGGGGAAGGTCCATGCGTAAAGGGGAGTGCCAGTCCAGAAATAAGTTGACATCCGGTTGCCGCCACCGCAGATGGAAGAGTCATTGCCGGCGCAGAGTATATTGCATTCGGATTCGGGACGGAAGACGGTACCAATTGTATCAATGTTGGCCGGATCACCGCAATAGCACTCCTCGCCGTACTCGAGGCCAGCAGCCATGTATCCAAATTCGCCGCAACGATCGAGGCACTCGTTAGCGGTCATGGTGCCAGGGAAGAAGTTCTGCCAGAAGAAAGTCCGCGTCGTTCCGACAAAACTTTGAAGGCAGCCCTGGTATGTCCAGTCGCCGTTGAAGCCACTCAGCTGGGGCGAAGGAGGACCACGTACTCGAGGAGGGCCATCCGAGATGATGGTCATACGGTCACCTCCACCACACATCTGCGTGCTGTCACCCGCACATGGCGTGTTACACTGCGAGTCGCTGGAAGCCTTGACACCGTTGTTGATAATGGCATTACCGCAAAAGCACTGTTGATAATACTCAGCGCCAGCAACAGTGTAACCCAAATCAAAGCAGTTCTTGGCGCACTTCTGAAGGGTCAGAGCATTGTCGTCAGGGACCTGGTGGGTGAGGATGCGACCGCCAGCCCCATCGACCCAACAGCCTTGTTCGCTCCACCCGGATGGGTAGCCAGTCGCCACAGGACGGGCTGACGTCGAAGTTGAGGTTGAGACAGCGCTCGCAACCCCTGTATCGCTAGTAGCAGCACCTGAGGTTGCAGCTGATGAGGCTGGCGAACCCCCCTCGTCGAGCATGTAGACGGACAAGCGATTGCCGGCGCCGCAGTATTGTTGGGGACTACCAGAACACCTCATGCTGCAGTCCGATTCGGGGGCAGTCTGAGAGCCTGCTGCAAACGTATCACCACAGAAGCACTCCCTTCCATACTCCGTACCAAAGTATTTGTATCCCGTACAAAAGGTTTGGCACGTTTCAAGAGTCATCTGATCGTTCGCAAGCTCTTTGGCGCCGAGAGCACGGGCGCCGGTGGCCTCGGTACGGCAGCCAACCCAGGAATAAGGACCCACGGTTTCTGGGTGACTTGGCCCAGTGGGAGTGATCGTTGAGGTAGGAAGGACGGTCTCGATGACAGAAGCCGTACCTGTGGGCTCGGGCGTGGTCGTTACCGTTGACGACACATCTACGACCTCTTTGTAGTTGTAGAGATTGAGGCGATTGGGTCCACCGCAGTATTCGGTGGTGTTGCCGTTGCAAAGCATGTTGCAGCCGTCGACGGCAGGCGCACCTCCATTCTTGAGCGAGTTGTCACAATCTACTCCTGTTAGTCAATCCATCTACCCTCCGGCGAGGAGGAGAGCACCCACAGCATTCGCCTCCGTACTCAACACCGCCTAGTTTGTAGTTGCCTGTTCTGCAAGCCGCAAGGCACTTAGCAACTGTCATCTCAGACGCCGGAATACTACCGATCCCGTTAGAGAGGGTTCGCCCTCCTGCGCCATCACTGAAGTTGCAGTTAGCGGACAGGTTCATCATCTCGCGAACAATCTGCAATTTTGGCTTACGTATAGCAGCCTTCTGACACCCAGCCGCCAACTCCTGGATTAACACTTGGGCCATTGGCTTCTTCAGTGAAGAAAAGCGTCAATCGATTGGGACCACCGCATGGCTGGGTCGTATCGCCAGCACAGGGAGTGTTGCAGTCAAGCTCATTGGCAATGACTCCGCCGACCGCAATAGCATTTCCACAATCTGCATCATGGTCGTCAGCTAACATACTGACACAGAATTGGATTCTGAGTATCAACCTACAGCACTCCTGATACCATTCAGTGCCAGCGTAGGCGAAACCGCGCGAGGCGCAAAACGTCGCGCACACCTCATTCGTCATGTCGGCAGAAACACGCGACGCGCCAGTCAGAGACCGGTTTATGTCGCTTTAGAAGATCAGATCGAGCCCATGCGTGGGGAGTCTGGGGAAACGAACATAAAGCAGCCTTGGTACGTCCATCCTCCCGCTATCTCTGCAGGGGGATCCCGCTTGGCGAGATGTCCCGCCGCGGCATTAACCAAGGACGAAGAGGCCAGAAAGGCAGATGATAGCTGAACAGGCCTCATGTTGACTGATGTTTGCTAGGCGTCAGGGCCTCAGCATGGCGAAGAAGCCGCCTTATTATATGTAGCAAGTGCGGACTACTGGAGAGTGAAAGCTTGACTACCCTTGTGGATGCCGGGATAGACGCGAGGAGAGCTGGCGTTAAAGTTATGACTTGTAGAGCCAAAGAAGAAGAGAAGCCTTCAACAAGCCAGGTGGCAGACACCAATACGAGAGGTTGAGCTAGATGGATAACGGATCAAGCTCAAAAGCTGTGATCTGAGAGGAAACGTCCGACACAAGGTTGCTTGGCCGGGGGACGTGATCGCTATGTATCTAATAAAGGCTACAAAATATCCAGAGCTGGCGAGCCGCATACCTGGAGCAAAAGATAGAAAGGTCAGGGCGTGGGGTCCCTAGAGCTGATACGAGTGGTGGCAGCTCGATGCGTGAGAAGTTGGATGGATGGATGGCTAGCTGGTGGAGATTAGGGGAATGACATGCAGAAAGGCGGCCTGAGCCGGACGCAGACGTATCGGGCGAGGCCTCACACAGGGAGGAGCATGGCAATGTGGTGTTGCCATTGTGGTGTCGTTGCTGGCTCTGCTGAAAGAGGCACTAAGCAGAAGAGTCCATGCCTTGTCGATAGGTCAATATTGGCAGACTTGGCGAGGCCCATGCCGCTTCCACATGAAATTCTGTCCATCGCGGCCCAGAATGGCCGGGTCAGATGCCGTCCAATGCCGAGACTTCCTCTGCGCATTGGGCAAGGCGGTCTGATGCTATGGCTATGGGTGGTATGCAGGCGGTACCCGAGAGGAGGCTTGGACAGACAGGGAAATACGAGACGACGATTTAGACTACCTTGTTGGGAGCAGATAGAAGGGCTAATCGAGATGTTGGGGGTCCTGATAGGGCAAGGCTCCAGGGGTTGACCGTTCAGGTTCACCCCACGACGACAACGACGACGTGGAAGACGGGAGAGCGCCGAGGCGTTCGAACGAGGTTGCTGCGTTCAATACAGAGGCGATGTGCCAAGATACGCGGACATGCGGACGCATGGGGGAACGAGAGCCAAGGTGCACTGTGGTGGCTTTCGGCGCCGCCAGTCCTGAATCTTTGGTCATGGAACGGCCTCGGATCGCCTGATGGTCGACCCAATCCGTAGCTGAGGTGCTTCTAGTACCTGTCGGCACGGCACAGTGACGACAGGGTTTGGGTACGGCGCATGATAATGTGTTGCTCAGCCGCTTACTGCCACGCCGCTTGCGCGTTTTCTGTCGCTGCCCAGCCCGCCTGGGGGCGATGAGGTGGCCCAGGTGGTGATAGATGAAGCAGCTGGCGAGCTGCCGCAGGCGCCACAGCAATATGTGCAGCGCTGCTGACCGACTGTCGGCGGTGGTGAGGGTGTCCTGCGACTCGTCATGCTTCTTTACCTAGGTACGGAGTGGAGAATCTTGGTTGAGATCGGGGGGTTGCTCAGTTGGGGGACCATGATGATCCCCCTGATGATCAGGAATCTAGGATGGGAGGATGGAGGGATGCCATGCCGGGCTATACCGGTCGCCGGTGATTGATCCTTCGACGGCACGAAGGAGGGGTCCAGAGGCGAATGGGCAAAATCGGTCGTCTCTAGATTTGATTTCCGATTTCTGGGATAATCAGGGTCAGTACCACCTGCCTGCCCTACGGCAAGGGAGGAGGTACTCGGTAGGCAGTAGCGAACGGCAAATACCTTTGCAGGGTCTGCGCTCATGGTCTGTGCGAAGAGAGCTCCAGTACTCAAACGTGACGTTGGGCAGCCGCGGGCCCCTCTGCTATTGCCCGGGCGCCCTTGGCAGCACCTGCCGGCTGGTGCATTGGTTCTGTAGGCCCAGACCCCCCGTCTTCGTTCCATCGAACCATCAACCACGAAAAAAAGGGCATGCTGTCCCGACGAAGCAAATGCGGTCGCAACACGAAGACCCCATGAGGCCAAGTGAGGATCCCTCCTTCGCCCGAATTATCGAATGCACAATGTTTTTCTCTTGGAATGTTTCCTTGTCTTCAACCTTGATGAAGTGAGCTCAACCGGCTCCTCCTGCCTTGTTCGAACACATCACAACGCCACAGCTACAGCGACTCGGATGCGACACATGTCGCGATGCCATCGGCTCCGGCAACTGTCAGCAGGCCTCACGATTCGGACTGCAGATCAGGTCATCCGTTTCTCCACCTGACCCATTCCCGTGCACTTGGGGTCGCATTTTGCATGAAAACGTCACTCGTACATCCAAACCTCGGAGAGAAAGTAACGCTGACCGACAGACGGAGGGTGACATTGGACGCTTGAGCCCCCGTCTCGGCCACACTGGACGTACCAACCGTGGTTAACAGCATGCCGCCCGGGCCAGGCTGCATTCTCCATATCACGCGCTATGCTGCACTTTATTCATGGAGGCTGCAGGCTGACAGATGGGAATATTGATGTGCCAGAGGTAAGATGTGCCTACCGGAAAAGCATCAAACCACGCCTCAGTCTGGGCCTGGTGCTTCACCGCAATGGAGATCGTCCCAATCAGGCTCTGACTGCCGATGAAATGCAACATGCAGATTCTCGCGACGACCCTCAACGGCGCCCAATATTCAACATTCCCGTCGGCCTTGATACTACCAAAATACACCGTCACCTTCCACGCAGCAGCCCATCCATATTCCAACCAAGCATGTCTTTTGTTCCACGCCATACATCTCCACCTTTATCTTTGGCGCCAGTAAGCCACCACCAGCATAGCCAACTGGAAATGGCCATCCCCTGCCTACCCGTTCAGCCTAGCTAGCTTGTGGCTTGATAGTTCCTCGACGAAGGCGGGCCGCTTCGTCACCCGATTAGTTACGTTCGACGACGGTGTGACCGCTGGCCTAATCAGAGCAATGTACTCGCCCAATACCATGGCGCCACGGAGATCAGTGTGGGAGAGTCCCCGAATCTTGTTGCTCCATGCTCTCGCTGAGCATTTGTCAAGTTGCATATGCACCCGCCGCTAGCATCTCGTATCCGTAAGACATACCTCAGGGACGAACCCCACCTCATTCAACAAGGTAGCCGGCGGTTTTCCTTGGTGGCCCACGCCTGCTTACCCCTCTGCGATAAACCAGCACTGTTGAGGTTTCACTGCTAATCTATAATCTGTAATCTATAGCTTTTTCCGGCCTGGCGTAACTATCGAATAGGCTGCCAGGGTGTACCCAGTCGTGGCTTTCCGGGAAAGCCTTAATGAGCTCAATGGATCCACGACGTGCGACGAAAGCAGACTGATCACACGGCATCGTCAGCTTATTGACCTAGGTGCAGGAAGTTGTCCCCCACTGCGCCGTTAGAAATATCGCGACGACCCCTGTCATTCAAGCCCACGCATGGTCAGCCGCACTTGGTCGCCGTGTTGCCAACTGATCGACAGCTCTGCCTGGACAGGGTCTGGAGGGGATCGTCACACTTAGGGCTCTCGGATGCCTAACCGGGCGGCCGGCCCTCAGTAATCAAGGTCGTTTGAGCAACGGCACGAACATGTAGAACAAGGCCACGGAACACTAGCTCGGGCAATAGTTTCCCATCCCGTCTGGGTAAGATGATCTCCCGCCAAGCTGGGCTCTGGTTCGCCTCACGGGTTCAGACAAGGCCATCTGCTTGTGGCGCCAAGATCCACGCCAGACTAAGTCAGCCTCACCGCAGGTTGCGGATGCGATAAGAAGCCATCAAGCTTATAGGGAAGAGTTCGTGACATGATCTTCAGAGGCGTCGCCATGTCGCCACAAGTTTATGTATAGACAGGACTAGGTGTTATTGTCCTACGCTTGAAGACTGCTATCACACCTCGCTTGCGTGAATCCACGTCCTGACTTGCCAAACCCAGCTGCGCATATGCACATGTCTTGGTGGCAGGCCTCCTGCGTTCGCATGATGACACTACAGGCTGCGTCTGCCCCCCTTCCCCCGGAACCGGAGAGCTCTATGCACTGGTCTTGTCTGAAGGCGTATCGTGGTTCCTATGCTCATGGCTGGCTGCCAGCAGTTCCTGATCTAGCACATGATGTGTCAATTCGCATGACATGACTCTAGGGCAATCCATCGATGCGGCTGTTTTAAGATGTGCTGTTTCGACATGTGTTAAGCTCCTGAGTAAGTTGTGAGATAACTACCCTTTGGATATCAAGGGGACCAACAGCTTCACCCCCACCCCCACATCGGACGGGAGAAGAAAGCGTGTTCAGGCAAAGAGATTCAGTGCTGCTCCTTTGGGACGCCGCACTTCGTCTCTGCAACACGAGGCGAGGATCGGTCTGCAGTCGTAGACGCATCCCAGTGGTGAACTATAGCAGTGGGAAGCCACAGCGAGCCTCTCGATTCGGACCCACAGTCATTGGAGGGAACGAACAATGCTGTGTACCAAGTCTGGCGTAGGGCTGCATCGCGCGTCCGCATGTCACTTGGAATGAGTCGTAACCGTTTTCAACGGCTGTTGGGGTCCATCTGGCGTAGATGGGGCATGGGACTGTGCTGTCAGAGTAATGGTGTTCCCTTCGGCTCGGGTTTGACAGAAAACTCCAGTACATTGTCTCGAGCGAACATTCTAAGACGGCTTCCGTGAGATGCGCTTTACGATCATCAGAGCCTCAGACTACCCAATAGTTCCCAACAGCAACGCAATGCTAAGCGCGTCATATCAGCTTGGTCATGGCTGTCGCGAGAAAGCCCGACTGGACTCAGGTGCATTGTATGTCGTCCGGATTTCCAGAACCGCACCAGGCGCCTGAAAGTGCCCTTGGACGAGTCGAAACTCAGTCGGCTAGATGAGTCAACACTTTCGCCTACAGCACAGCATGGGCGTTCCAAATGCACTTTTGAATAGCAGATAAGTGTCGCCTCGAATTTCATTCCAGCTGTGCATTGCAGCCTTTTTTTTTTTTTTTAACCCAAATGCCCACGACACGACGGCGCACCCGGCATGACTCATAGTGATCATCATTTGTCAGCCACATTCAGTATGGCAAAAACGTGAGGCTGGCAGGCGGCAGGCGGGTAGCATCGCCACAGCCTGGTGGACCCACAATCCCGTTATATGGACGACGACGTTCTTGCCGCCACGACGGATTTCTTCTCTTCCACCTTCAACGAACAGCACGATTGAGTACAGTGGAGGATCCAGGGAAGCGAGTTATTCGTTCACGAGACTTGGGAATTTTCCTTGTTCCTTTCTTTCTTTCTTTTCGCCCTCAAGGTCCCGAGCTTTTCGGTTCGACCAGAGCATTTCAAAAGTCGCTGTATTTCAAAAAGCGCACGCGCCACAAAAATCTACGCCTCACCTCGCAAACGTAGGCAGGCAGATAGCCATTGAAGGCTTTTCACCCCTCACACTGGACGGCAACACCCACGATCAGGCTCACATCAACACAATCATGCCGGCAGAGGCAAGCTCAGCTCCTGCGAGTGACGGCGCCCAGGGAAGTCGGGGACGCCCGAGGCAGCGGCGGAGAGGGCAGCGCGGCGGTCGTGGCGGCCAGGGGCAGGGCCGTGGCGGCGCTGCTGAGCAGGGTGGACAGCCGGCGGCTGCTGCTCCTGTCGAGAGGACCAACGGCTCTCCGACACCTGCAAACGATTCAGGCGATGCCGTTGCATCGTCATCGTCGCGAGGGCGGGGGAGGGCCAGGGGGAGGGGACGAGGTGGCGGCGGTGGAGGCTTGAGAGCTGGCAGGGGAGGTGCTGTTCGCAGTGGAGGTTTCGTTGCGGGAACGCAGAGGGCCTTTGGCGGCCACCTGACGTCAGAAATGGCGGATGGTGGAGGTCAGGTCGACGGGGACGCTGGGCTGAGTGCGGCTGCTGCAGAGTTTGTGCCCGGCCAGGCCATCGCTCCGAAGAGGTATGTCGCTGTGCCTGGTGGCGCATCGGGAAGCATGAGAGAAGAGAGAATGAAAGAATGCGAAACTAATAGGGGACCAGCAGACAACCACCAAGACAGAAAGCACCCCAATATCCTCTGGCTCCAAAGTCAACGGCTGAGGATCTGCCCACTCGTATTCACCAGGACATCAGCAATGGACAGTATGAGTGTGTCATCTGCGCCAGCGAAGTCCTGCGGTCCTCGAAGGTTTGGTCCTGTAACCTGTGCTGGACTGTCGTCCATCTTCCCTGTGTCAAGAAATGGCACAAGAGCCAGATCGAGAAGCCGAATCCCCAGGAACAAGAACAGCCCGATCAGCCCAGGACATGGCGATGCCCTGGCTGCAACTCAAAGTTGACGGAACACCCCAGCTCATACCACTGCTGGTGTGGCAAAGACATCAATCCTCAGAATGTTGGCAGTCTCCCGCCACACTCGTGCGGCCAAACCTGCACGAAGCCGCGAGCGACATGTCCTCATCTCTGCTTTTCAGACTGTCACGCCGGGCCGTGTCGTCCGTGCGATTTGATGGGACCGACACAGCCCTGTTTCTGCGGCAAGCAGGAGAGCACCAAGCGTTGCAGCGACACCGACTACGACAATGGCTGGAGCTGCAAGGAGATTTGTGGCGACCTGCTGCCATGCGGAGAGCACTTTTGTGAACAAGAGTGCCACTCTGGTCTATGTGGCAGCTGTACCGTGCCGATGGTATCACGTTGCTATTGTGGCAAGGTCGAGAAGGAGATTCCTTGCGATCGTCGGGACGAGGTGCGGACTTCTTTCAATTATGGCCAAATTGACGCCTCGGAAAAGGATTCTGTGCAACCTCAAGAGCCATTTGATGGCTGTTTCGACTGCGGGGCTTCTTGTGGACGGAAATACGACTGTGGCCATCACGAATGCCAGAAAACCTGCCACCCCCAGGATGAGGTTGAAGCTCATTGTCCACTTTCTCCCAATGTTGTCAAAAGCTGCCCTTGTGGCAAAACGCCGCTGGAACGACTGCTCGAACAACCACGGCAGTCATGCCAGGATCCTGTTCCTCACTGTCAGGAGATATGCGGCAAGACCCTAGCGTGTGGGCACGAGTGTGACAGGACGTGCCACGTTGGCCCTTGCCCACCTTGTTACCAGAGGATGGACATTGCCTGCAGATGCGGCCGCACATCCAGCCGGACGCTCTGCCATGGCGATGACATGACTCTTCCCGTGTGTATGAGAGTGTGTCAAGCGCAGTTGAACTGCGGTCGTCACCAGTGCGGCGACCGCTGTTGTCCTGGCGAGAAGAAGGCGGTTGAGAGGCAGGCAGCAAAGCGGAAGAATAAGTTGCAGAACTCGGATGAGATTGAGGCCGAGCATATCTGCATCCGCGTTTGTGGGAGGACCCTCAAGTGCGGTGCTCATCAGTGCCAACAGATATGTCACCGAGGGCCGTGCGGGAGTTGTCTCGAGGCCGTCTTCGACGAGATTAGCTGCACTTGTGGCCGCACGGTGTTGCAGCCGCCTCAACCATGTGGAACTAGACCTCCAGAGTGTCGTTTCGACTGCACGAGGCGGCCGGTTTGTGGACATCCGCCGGTGTCGCACAACTGTCATCCCGATGACATCGCGTGCCCAAAGTGCCCATTTTTGGTTGAAAAGCCATGCATCTGTGGTAAGCAGAGACTCAAGAACCAGCCATGCTGGTTCGAAGAGGTCCGCTGTGGACTTCCCTGCAGCGAGAAGCTTAAATGCGGGTAAGTTTCGGTCGTTGAGGTGCTCAGCAGGATGACGCTGACACGGTGGCAGAACGCACACGTGCAAGAAACAGTGCCATCGACCAGGTCAATGTGAGGATGCCGACATAACTGGCTCTCACTGTAATCAGCCTTGTGGCAAATCAAGAAAGTCTTGTGGGCACGCAGACCAAGATAACTGCCATGCGCCATACCGTAAGGATCACCGTGACTCCCTCGGACTTGGATGCTAACAATTACCAGCCTGCAAAGAGGATAAGACGTGCCAGGCTAAGGAGTTTATCACTTGTGCTTGCCAACACCGCAAGAAGGAAATCAAATGTCTCGCCACCCGTATCAACCCGGAGCCTGAACGCGAAACTCTCAAGTGCGACGACGAGTGCCTTCGTCTCCAGCGCAACCAGAAACTTGCAGCCGCCCTCAGCATCGATCCTGCAACTCACACCGACGATCATGTTCCCTACTCAGATACCACGTTGAAGCTATTCCGCGACAGCGTGCGTTGGTGTCAGACCCAAGAGCGCGAGTTCCGCGTCTTCGCCTCGGACGCCGCCGAAAAGCGAATACGCTTCAAGCCCATGCCGCCTTCGCAGCGAGCCTTCCTCCACGCCCTCGCCGAGGACTTTGGCTTGGACACGGAGAGTCAGGATCCCGAGCCGCACCGTCACGTCAGCGTCTTCAAGACACCACGTTTCGTGTCGGCGCCCTCCAAGACCCTCGCTCAGTGCGTCAAGATCAAGAATGTGCAAGCTGCGGCGGCCAAGGCCGGAGCGTCTGCGTCCGAGGCGCCCAAGCAGGCGCCGTTCAACGCGCTGCTGCTCTCGACCCCGCGGTTCGCGCTGACCATTGAGGAGCTGGACGCTGCTCTTGCAGGAGATTTTGCGGCGCATAACAATCTGTCTTTTACGACGAGCTTCCTGCCGTCAGATGAGGTCCTCGTCCGCGCGACGCCCGTCTCGAGCTGGGGCTCCAGCACTGCGAACGTTGAGACCTCGCTCGCGAACCTTAAACCAACAATCACACGCACGGTTGCTAAAGCCGGCTTAGCCGGTGCCGTGACGCTCGTGCATGCGGACCAGGACCAGAATGTCTTGCGGAAAGAGGTCACGGGGGAGACGAAGGATGCTGGCGGCTGGAGCTCCGTCGTGGGGCGGAGGCCGCAGGCTGCGGCGCCGGCGCCTGTCGAGAAGAAACCTGCTAGCGGGTTCGTGAGTTTCTCGAGGCTTCCGAGAAAGAAGATTGTGCAAGAGACGGAGGAAGACTGGGAGGCTGCTGCGGAGAAAATGGATGATTAGGCTCTGTGGCCATTCCCATTTTTCAGTCGCCGTGAGACTACAGCTTCGTTTTACGATACAAACAAATGTCAATTCTTTTTAAACAAACCACAAACCTTGGCGTCTGCCCACATCACATGCACAAAGCATCCAAGATGGCTGGCAACATGCCACCAACCAGGGAGATATTTTCAGTCTGCTGACAACGCCTCTAAATCGGTTAAAAGAGTATTTTCATCAAGGCTATCCAGTATCTCGTGATCTTCTATCTGTGGTCGTGAGCCCAGACTGAGACAGTCGAAACATCTCGAATGTAGGTAGCGAGCTGTGATTAGGACGAAGATGCAGTAGTTTCTTCAATCATGTAGGCCTTTTTCCCTCCTAGACAAAAGTCTTCCACTCACCATGAAGGCCTCGTGAGCCGAGGCGAGCAAGACATCAGACCTTCCCATCCAGCTCACAGTCTCTGCCGTCCACGCCCACCCCAACGAAGCCTTTCCTCCAAGCCAGAAGTCATCGCCAAGTCGGCCGGTCATATCAACACCTCCCAACCTATGAACAGGACATGCCACCCTAACAGGAGAGCGACGAGCATACGCCAACCCCGCAAGGCACGACGTTGCTTCAGGGAGGTCTGGGCGGATCGGTGCTGGCCAAAGGCGTCCCGACCAAGCCCAACACACGGATCTGCGACCCCGTCATACCTCGTTCGTGAGGAATTACCGTCCCGCCCTGCAGTTGCTCGAAGACGCGGGTGCAACAGCCGAGACGCGCGGTCGACGAACGATCAGCCACCTCGTATTCAACCAAGACAGAAAGCAGTCATAGGTTTTCTGTCCGAGACGAGAGACAGCTCCCGAAAAGCAAGACCAGGGCGGGGGCAAAGGGGGGAAAACAAAAGTCAAACCTCCGCTGGCTCTTTGTCCAACTGTTACAGCTTGGAGCACGATGCGGATCGTGACGAGACACAGGGACCCAGTGCTCCAAACTTTCCTCCCGGCATAGCGGGGCCCACGACGAAACCCAGTACATCCTCTGTGCCAACTGAACTTTTGTTTTCCACAATGTGTTCAGCCTGACTTGGCGGTACCCGGGTGATGCAACGACAGAAGCTAGCTGCACCATGGGCCGTCGAACAAGCCTGCGGGTACTGTCTTGACGCATGCGCGAGCACGAGCTCCGTCTTGCACACATATGCTGGATAAGCAAGCAATCCATATAAGCATTCATCGTGGACTTCGTCAGTGTGTATGTACAGGTCGTCGGTACCTATGTAACATGCTCTCCGCCTCCGCACCGCCACCCCGACGTGTGTCGACTCTCTAGGAGTGAATTAATAAAAAGAAATACCGAGGGGTATCGTTTGATGATCACCACCTCAACCAGGAAGAAATGTCGCCCATGGTCGAGGGCCTTGTCCAATGCAGCCGCCGTTTTCCATTCTCAATGTCGCATCTCAGCCACGCCTGCCTGCCATTCACACCTCACTGCCACCCTTCGCATGCCCCACGTTCACAATAGGCTTCACCATCGGCAGCCTGTTCCGTCTGCATTGTCGGCAGACCAAAAGCCTCCCGATGGAGCGCCGCCTCATCCTCACCCGCGCGTCGTGTTGGTCCTGCTGCTGCTCCTCTTCTTCGCGGGCCGCGGCGCCCAGGGCTTCTCGTTTCGCGCCATGTCTTTCCTACAAGCGCTGTCGGTCGGCCTTCTTTTCGTCGCCCGTGACGGAGGTGATGAAGTCGGAGATTGCCTCGAAGTACCCTTCCTCGAGTACGCTCGAGTTGTGGTCACCGCCAGGCAGCGGCTTCCAGATCTTGATGGGAGCTGTGGCAAGGTCGTAGAGCTGGCGCATGTGATTTGGCCTATCATGTTGCTAGAGTCAGCGGCCGCGAGTCCTCGAGTGATCAGGTTTCAAAGAGAGAGAAAGTGATTCTTCGTGTCAGACAATAAGTGGTGAAAAAGGTATTCAACGCTTCCCCGAGGGAAAACTCATCTTTTGTGGGTGATAATTTGGCATCATATGAGAAGAAAATAAAAGAGAAGGGGCGGATGCAAAACTCACGGAACAATCTCATCCTGTAGGCCAGACAGGAAAAGGATCGGCACGGACACGTTATGGATCACTGAGTCGGTCGGCCAGACCTGGTGGCAGAGGTAGGTCAGGTAGCGAGCCGGTGGGATGACGGAGGGGATGAGCTTCCGCATCGAGAGGAACGTGTTCTCGAGGACGAGGCCCGCGATATCGCCGTGCTTCTGGTGCTTCGAGACGAGCTTGACGGCGACGGCGCCGCCCAGGCTCTGGCCGTAGACCACCAGCTTATGGTTGCTCGTCTCGGCGCGGGCGCGGAGGTACTCGATGGCGGTCTGGGCGTCGGTGTAGAGACCCGATTCGTCGGGCTCGCCAGTCGACAGACCGTAGCCGCGGTACTCGAGCATGAAGACATTGCAGCCGATGAAGTTGATCAGCATGCGAGCGATGGGCAGGCGGTGACCGATGTTGCCGGCGTTGCCGTGGAACATGAGAACCGTGATGTCGGAGTTGCGGTTGCCACGGGGGCCGCGAATGTAGAAGGCGGACAGCTTCTCGCCATCGTTGGTAGGGATTACCAGCTCTTCGAAATCCTTAATACCGAACTGGGATGGTCGGGGCACTTCGGTGCGGGCATTCGGGGGCATGTGTGAAGGGTAGATGAGGGCCCTGGAGACGTGTCAGAGGGTGTGCCCAAAAGGGGGGTTTGGGTTGGAGAGTCGGGACTGGGCGACGTACTTCTGTTTGAAGTAGAGCAGCGAGGTCAGAACCGCAGCAACGCCCTGTACAACAACACCGTGTCAGCTTGTGTCACCCTTCAAGGCGGCCTTGGACCGGCTACGAGCCTTCATGGTCAAGAATCGTGTGGGTTTGACATGAGGAGGACAGTCCTAGCTTCAGAAGCAGGGGGTGGAGAAGGAGAAGGAGAAGGAGGAAGAGGAGGGGAGACAGCATGTAGTCGTACCGTGGAGGCGAGGGCCGGAAGGCGCAGATAGGCGCCAGCAGTGCTCAGCATGGATGCTGTCTGCTCGAGAAAGGTCGGCGAGTTGGAGGAGGGGGGGTTCGAGGAGGCCATGGCTTCGGGTCGAGCTTTAGCTTTGGACTTGGCTGGTGGTAATTGGACTGAGAGACGACGTGTCCGAGATGCCGACCGTCACTTCATTGTCGGGAGGCGCTTTGTGGAGTGCAGGCAAGGGATGCAAGTGTGAAGGCTCAAGCCGTGTCACTCGATGACTTGGTCGTCGTCGTGATGTCCTGTCGGCGGGTTTCGCTCGTGAAGGGTCGTTGTTCGTCCCGAGATAGATTGGGCGGTCAGCAGGTGTGTGTGGGTTATGAGTGTGTGTGACCCGAGGAGGATGGAGAACAGAGATCAGAGGACAGGATGGGGGCCCAGAAGCCCAAAACCCCAGGCGAAGACACAAGACGAACGAGGCTCATCCCAACAGTTGCTGGTCTGTGCGCATCCCCGGCCACCAGGGGTCGATCGTCTCAGAATGGGCGAGTTGGTGGGGGAAGGTGACATGGTTCGGGCGGCATATCGGCCATGCAATCAACTCATAGTGCTTGGTACCCCAACGACCCTTGCTGCATGATCCAAGGCGATTCAGCTCGTGTCCCTTTGCAGTGTTGGGCTGATGATGCCTATCGAGGGCCTGCTCTCAATCCTCATATATCCGCTCGAACAATCCAGCTTCATCCACACGTCCCTTCGTCACATCGTCTACCCAGGCTTTGATGCGCTCAGCGAGAAAGTCGTCGTCACAGTGGCGCACTGCCATGTCCAAATCACGCTTCTACGCGCTGGATTCGAATACCTCCATCCATCCGGGTTCCAGGCTTGCCATTTCTTCCAGGAACATCCTACTGAGACGCGTCAGTTCATACTCTTTCAAACTGTCCCAGTACAGCCCATCGATTTCTCCATTGGGATCGACGTCATAATTTGACCCACCTGGCATGGAGTTCCGTGGTTTATCGTTCAGGAAAGACGGGAAATAGCACGATGCCCACAGGGGGAAGTGCTGAGACACACTCCCAATCCACAACGCCTGTCAAATTTCCGTCGCTATCCACGAGTATGTTATGCAAGGAGCGGTCGTCGTGGAACACCATGGTCGCTTCAGGCTCGGGGTCCTCTGCGGGCGGAAACACAACGTCCAATAGAGAGGCTGAAGCTTCTTGATGCTGTCCAGAGTCTGCTCGGCGTATTCGAAGTCCTCCTCATCGTCGCTATCCATCTCGCTCTGCGCAGAATATCTTGCAATCCTGCCATGGCATTCTCGGCTGCTCAGCATCAGGCGCGCCTTCATCCAGTCGCGGGTCGTCTTGAACGGGCCGCGGGGTACGTCCTCGTGGATGCCGTTTTCCTAGAAGAAGTGCATCGACACGATGCGCCCTGCTTTCGCTGACGCCGAAGAGGAATGGATGTTGCCGATGACTCGACACTGCTTCCTGAAGACGTGCGACGAATAGCAAAAAAATCTCTTCGCCAGCTGCTCCTTGGTTGCATAGGCCATCGACTGCCAGCGCGTCGCCCAAGCCTCGCCCGGGAGCTTGCTCGTAAGGATCCACTCAAAGCCAATGCGACTGTGCCGCGATGCATCGTGCAATATGACCTTGAGGACAGGCATCTCAGTGTTCCGAGACATCCACTCCAATGTGGCGACTTCACACCGTGTCTTGCATCGTGGGCCGACAGGCAAAGACACCCTCAGGATGAGGTAGAGCTTGTTGAAGGCACCTTACGCTACGACGCTGATCTGACGCGCATTCTTCGATCCTGACAGTGACTCGACGGTGGCGCGACTGGCTTCTGGATCCGGCTCACGGGTCCAACGTGGCTCGCTCGAGAAGGAGCCCACTCAAACGCTTCGAAATATGCACGATCGAGAGCCATGGCACGGCTGTAAGCCCTGGGTTTGGCAGCAGACTGCTCAGTTGGAGAGGCGTCGTCCATGTCAAGGGGGTCTTTGTCGTGCAGATGATGGCAGCTGGCCAGTTGGTACGTCTGTTGTCAATTTCCCACTGAAACATCGCGTCAACACGTGATACTATCCCTCTTCACCCATCAACAGCAACTTCATAGTAGCTCTTCTTGGCGATTCGCTTCTTCATCACAACCCTGCACAGTGTATTCCGTGGATGACACGCAAGTCATATGATGCTGCAGAAAAGCGTCTTGCGCATCTTTATTGCATGATGTAATATGGACACGTATGGAACTAAAGTATCTACTAACTAAGGACAAGCGTCCAGTGGTTCGCCAGAAGGAGAAAAAAAACGAACAAGGCAAACCACCAAGCGACAGGCTCAGGTCGTCATGACGCCTCGTCATTCAACTGGCCTGTAGGCTCAGAGGCACTGGGAGTACCACTGGTTCTGCACCTTGCAGGTGCCCTGCGCGCACTTGGTGGCACCAGTCCAGCCGGAACCGCCGCACTGGCCCCAGAGAGGGGCGGTGCCGGAGCCTCCCGTCGACGGCGTCGTAGCGGTGGGCTTGGGCGCAGCAGCCGTGGTAGTGGTGGGCTTGGGCGCCGGAGCGGGCGTCGTGGCACCGGCGTTGATCTTTCCGACACCGGCGTTGGCCTTGACGCTCGCCTCGACGCCGGAGGCCGGCTTGGCCGGGGCAATGTTGGCGCCGGCGTCCTTGCGCAGCTGGGTCAGGGCGTCGGTCTCCTCGATGGCGGGGATGGTGCCGGAGGTGCTGTCGCGCTGGTTGGGCTGGCAGGCGCGGCCGATGGCGGAGACGCAGGCGGTGCCCTTGTCCTGGATGTAGACGCTGTTGGCGCGGGTCGTGGACTGCGGGGTCACGGGCTGCTTGACGCCCTTGAAGACGTTGCCCTCGAGGAGGCTCCAGGTGGCGGGCTCAATGTCGAAGGCGTGGCCGCTCATGTTCTCAAAGAGGTTGTTGACGGCGTGGAAGACATTGGTGGCGCCGTTCTTGTCGGTGCCGTAGTGCGGCGCGCGGCCCGAGATGTCGTGCAGCCAGTTGCCCGAGAAGGTGAAGAGGTCCTTGGCGCCGATGAAGAGGAGGGCCCAATAGTGCTGGCCGTTGCAGCTGGCGGACCACTTGGTCGCGCCGTCAAACTCGTTGTTCGACACGGTGACACGGCCGGCGGCGTCCCAGCCCGAGACGATGAACTGGCGGCCGACGAGGGAGAACTTGTTGTGGTCGATCCAGATGTTGTCCGTGTTGCCCAGCGTCAGGGCATCGCCGCCCCACACCGACTTGGGGTTGATGTTGGTGAAGTGAATGTTCTGGATGATGATGTTCTTCGAGCCGATGATGCGCAGACCCTTGCCGACAATGGCACCCTTGTTGCCGACACCGATGATGGACTTGTTGCTGCCGACGGGCATGGGCTTTGTGCCGGCAGTGTCGTACTTGACCGAGGCAATGGGGTTCATCCTGGCTGTGTCGCCGCATGAAAGCGTTCCAATGTAGTCCTGGCCGCCCTTGGATACGGGGCAGTCCTTGTTCTCACAGCCGGCCGAGGTCGCTGTGCCCTCGGAGCCGATGAAGTTGAATTCCCGGTCGATCAAGATGACACGGGGCGTGCTGTCGGCGAGCCATGCAGCGAGCCTGGTTCCGAGTCAATATGCGTCCACAGCACGAGAGATGAGCCTGGATTTGCTCACTGCTTGATGTCGGCCGGGGCGGCCGGCGTCGCGCTGCCGCCACCGGTCGTGCCGGCGGCCATTCCGAACGCCTTGCCTACGACCTGAGCATACGCCGGGGACAGGACGCCGGCCGCGACGGCGAGAAAAATAGAGGCACGCATCCTAGCGGTTCTTTCTTGAAAACAGGACTTGAGTGAAAGTAGAGATGGTAATGTTTCTGTGTATCAGGTGGCGGGTACCTCGAGGAATATCAGACCAGCCGGCGGAAGAAAGCCCGGACGAACTATCCTGAACACTGTGAAAATAGGCAAAGAAGCGAAGACGTGATGTGAAACGAATGCTGAAATGGTGTAAAGAGTGACAGTAACCAAGATGGCAGAACAAAATGGCGTGTGCCCTGGGCGTGACTGATCACTGCATCTGAGGGAACGCAACTTATATCGTGATGTTCGGCATCCCTCCACCCAGGCTGGATATGGCAAGCTGCTCGGAGACTTCTCGAATAGGAAAGCCCACCAGGGACGGTCCAGGATTCACGGAGGCTTTATCATTGGCGTTTACCAGGCTGGGGCCGAGGTCTGTGGCGCTAATGCACATCCTGAAGAGGCGAATGCGAATATCCAGACGAAGGTATCAATCCAGAGTTGCGATGCCCGTTGTCCTGCGCAAGACGAATCGCAGTGTCGAAGCGTCGAGACGTATGGCGCGGTTTTCACCAAGGTTATCCTCTAGTCAGGCACAGCATCTCACCATTGGCTCCAAGTTGAACCTGCAACCATTGATGATGCCTTGTCCGCCTCAACCACGTCGCAACAGATCTCGGGCCGGGAAACGGCAACAACCGTAATGTGTGGGGGGCCTTTGATGAAAGGGGCCAGTGATGGAAAGCCCCGAAGCAGATGTGCAGGGTTTCTCGGCGAAGGCATGGTCTGCTTGTACCACATCGGTCTAGCCCCGTTACATGTCGGCCGAACAGTCGTCCAGTGGCTGAAATAAAATTGATCAGAACCCACGCGGTGGTCTGAAAGCGTAAGGCTGCATCTTGTCGAAACACACGACTCGGACAACCTCCAAGATCGGTTTGGCCATGTGGCAAGATGCTTGGGTGCAACGGTGCTTGCAAAGATCCCAGGCTGGTCGCCAGCCAGGGACAGGGACACTCGACTCCCACGAACAGAGCCTCGTCGTCTGGCCATGTAGACCGTGGTCAAGCTCTGTGAGCTGGGCCACTGGCCGAGCTCCTCCTGACTAGCGGCAAGTGCGCTTCAAGTGTTCGTCATGGCGTGTGTGTTTTCAGGTCCTAACGTGCGTTTCCCTTTGACAGTAGTGGCGCTTGAGAGCACAGCGCAATAATAGGGGATGGGCTGGAATGTTGTCGGACCAGTGAGGCGCCTCGATGTATACCTTGGATGGACCAGGATTGCAGCGCCAAATGTTGGGGGCCGGAGGAATCACTTCGCGATTCGGGTGATTCTTTGGCCCGGTACCCAGGGCCCGGTACCTTGGGTAAGATACCTTAGGTAGATCCCTAGCCACCTTACCTAAGAGGTAGGTACGGTAACGCACCTACCTGAATTAGGTACCCAGATACCTTGAATGCTTGACAGGTCCCAGGGCCCACTAGAGGCCACTCGCTAGCAGAACCTAGGTAGGTAGGTAGGTAGGTAGGTAGGTAGACACCTGTAAACAAAGCAAAGACAGCGCATTCCGATGACTCATGCGGCGGGGGATTGTCGCTGGGGCCAGGCGCTGATGACCTTGGACACCAGAAATGGCCTGTCGACCAGCGACCTGGGTACCCTCCTAAGGTACCTGGCGGTCGACATTGAAGATCAAAGTCACCGTTTCAGTTAACAACCACCCACACTACCTAAAGTAAGGTAAGGTAGGTAGGTAGGTAGGGAGGTGTCCAAAGTCGATACTTGGACCTCGACAAGCACATCAAGCCAAACACATGGAACTACATACTGCAGTGTTTTGAGCCTCGTACACAACGCACTGCATCCTCCAACCCCACAGCAGGCGTCCAGTTTTCGTACGGACGGCCCACATCCCAAATCATGGATGATGTACGGTACAATGCCGTGGATGGTGACGAGGACCCCGAGTCCCCATCATGGCAGCCACCAGCGGCACCATGACAGCATGAACCGGGGCGTGGAGCTGTGAGTCCTCTTTTTTGATGCGTCTACGACGCCGTGCTTTCACGCGCTCCAGCTTACCGAATTGTAGTGCGAGGCTTGTCGGGTTCGCAAGGTATGTCTTCGTGGGTCCTATGGTCGATACCTCACATGAATGGGGCCTGCACATCAATGTTCAAGTGGCCCTCGAGTGCATGTCATTGTGTATCCTGCTTCAACGCTAATCGTGGGTCAGATCCGCTGCGACAAAGGGTCTCCCTGTTCTCATTGCCGGCGTGTCGGCGTCGAGTGTGTTCAAGTGACCGTCAAGCCTAGAGAGAAGCGCACACGAATCCTTCTCACGTCTCAATAGTACGCATCCTACGTCCCCTCTCCCTGGCATTGGGATCTTTCTATCCCCCTCCAGCGATGTGTGTACCCTTCGAAGTAAACAGGGCTTGGATAACAGGACTGGACGTCTAGTGAAAGGAATATCGATGTTCTCGACCACCGGCTTGACGGCGTCACCAAATTGCTGGAGGATCTCAAGATCATCTTGTCAGCCTCTAGCAGTAGTCCAGGGCTCAAAAATACCAAGACAGCTACAGTCCCCATGGTTCCTCCTGCCACCTCGCCAGCCAGTCGTGCAGGCCCATCAGAGCCAGCAGCTGGACAAGTGACTGAAGGGGAGTCTTCGCTATCGGCACACTCTGCCTTCGTCCACGATTTCCTTCAAGGCCTTGTCGAGGAAGGCTCTCTTCATCACCCTGATCCTGAGATTGACAGGACCATGAAAGCGCTCTCAGGCCTCGTCAGCGCGTCACGGCGGCAACCTGAGACTCACGAATCCGTGTTGAGTCTCGCAAAACCAAAAGAGAGTGCGCAGCAACGGATCTCAGAGCTACCGCCCATTCAAACGTCAGTGGCTCTCATCCGCCTGGCGAAAAGTACGTGCAATCCATCCTATGTCGATGAGAACCCAAGACTGACGCTTCTGGTTCCTCATTAGCGCAGAAGCTCGCCGGGACCGGCTGGATCTACGAGTTCATCACGATGCGGCCGTTCGGTGATCTTTGTCTCAATGTCTACTTCTCTGAGGACCACTCGGCTTTTGATTTTATTAGTGTCAATGCTGGATTGTATTCACTATGTTGGGATTATGCCCTGTCGTCCGACATTGCCCCTGGCGAGAAGGAGCAATACATGACGTATGCTCAATCGTGTCGCGAGAACCTTGAGACCGGGCTCGCGAACCTGCCCCTTTATTTTCCGGCAACCTCGGATGCCATAGCTGCTCTGCTGTTCGGCGTGAGTTTTCCTTCGCCCGTAGCTGTGGTTGTCTTGCTGACAGGTCCGCAGGCCTTCTATACTCTGCAATTCGCGAAATCTTCCCTGTGCTGGGCATTGTCGTCTAAAGCTTCGGAATTGTGTCAGACATTGGGCTATCACCGAGCCGCTTCCACAGAGAACCAAGTGGCAGAGGACCCAGCCTACGCCCAGTTCCTCTTTTGGACTACTTATTATATTGAAAAAGGTCTAAGCCTTCGCCTAGGCAGACCCTCTACGATTCCCGACTGGGACATCACCGTCAGCCCTCCCTCATCTTCGGCCCCTGACCAGGCTCCCGTCCTGGCCTTCTTCGTGTTATGGGTACAGACTGCAAAATGCCAAGGCAACATCTACGAGCTGCTCTACAGTCCCGGCGCCGTGGGCCTCCCCGATGCCTTGCGACAGTCCAGAGTTGAGATCTTGCTGTCGAGCTTGCGCGACATTGATAAAGAGACGCAAAAGACCAGGGTCAGTGCATGATCCGAAATGCCCTGCGTGAACCACTGCTGACCCTGGTGATAGATTGCATGGCTCGAAATCTCCAAAGAAAATTCGGGCGACGATTTAATGGACTTCTATGCCACCTCGGACGACATCCTTCGGCTGTCCTTGCTGACTCATGTCCACCGAGCTGCTCCAAGGGCTTCATCCTCGCGCACAACCTTCAGTTCTGACTGTCTTGAAGCTGCGAGAATGACGCTAAAGCGGCATCACGACTGCATGGAGATCATACACAGGACTGGAGGCAAGTACTTCCAAACATACATTCACTGGTAAGGCTCACACCGCGTTCGGGCTGGGCTCCGTAGCCGCCCGAGCTAGGTCGTACCCATGCTGACCTGATCAGGACCCTTCTGTTCGCACCTTTTATCCCATTCATCGTCCTGTTCTGCCATGTGATGGAGACAAGAAGTGAGGACGAGTTTGCTCGCCTCGAAGCGTTCGCCACCTCGATCGGACCCGCGTCGGTTCTCTCGGAGCCAGCCGCCAAGATGCTGCATCTCTTCCAGGTACTCCACAATATCGCGCGGCGGTACATCGAGCTCGGAGGCTCTGTTGCACAGAACAGGGGGCAGTACTCATCTATCCCTCAGATGAACGCAAGTCTGGCTGCTCTCGGGGTTCCTCATGTCGGCGTCGTCCGGACAAACAGCCAACAACTGGGGCAACAGGCGGACCAATCTTTGGCGTTTGATTCAGGCTCTCTGCCGCTCGACCGTGATACCGAATTCGGCACTGGAGAGGCACAGATTGACCAAAATCTAGTCAACCCGGTACTTTGGATGGGCAATGGGCCGCAGTTGGAGGATTGGTTCTATAATAACCAAGCATCGATCCAGTCACTGCAGGAACCAGGCGACAGTTAGTTCAGATAGAATTCACATGAAATTCCTCGGGCCATTTCGACAAGCAGCGACTCCAGGCTAATGACTGTGGAATGAAAATGCTCTTCGTTCCGTCCTCAGGGCGCAGAGGTTGCTCAAGCTCTTTGAGCAGTATCTGGTTACATCCCATGGCACACATACCCACGTGCGACGTTGAGTTTGACCGAGATTCGTTCATCAGATACAATTATGCCAAACACCTCAAACGTCCAATGCTAATGCTATGAGAAATTATACAGGGAAGCAATGTTATTGACAAGTCTAGACAACATAGGGAAAGAACAAAGAAAAATAGAGAAGCATAGAAAACCCGCAGCAAGCTACTGCGACTTGATGGTCAGGAGCTGGGGAAACACAGCCGAGAATTTTGTGTAGAAAAACCCGGTGATGAGTGCAACACCAATCGAAACAAAGCTCCAGACCTTCCAGCCGGTGCTGGTGCTGGGATTGTTCCTTTCATAGCGGGCGACGGCTTCGAGGTATCTTGTCGGCACAGGGATATCGTCAATCGTCGGAGCCCCGGCCGTGTTCTTGACAATGAGGCTAAAGATCATCCACTGGCCGTAACGCGGGAAGAAGTAGTCAACGAAAATCTTGGAGAAGAACGTCTCCTTGATAGAGGCATCGTTCGTGTGTCGACCCTGATTGACAGCGGCCATGGCACGACCAAAGCGAGCCTCCTGAGCTTCGGCGAAAATAGCGGAAATATCGCTTTCTGTCAACTTGGCATTGCATGACGTCTCCTTCAGCTTGCGCCGGAGCGCATTGACCAGGACGGCGGACGTCTCCATGGCGCCGTTGCCTCCCTGTGCGCTGATGGGGTGGACCTGCGTTTCCCGTCACGTCAGTTTTTGCCCAGAGAGCTTGGGGCCTGGGGATTTGTGTCCAGCATACCTTGTGAGCTGCGTCTCCGACGGTGAGAATCCTTCGGTAATGCCATCGGGGGAACACATGATCCTCAACGCTGACCAGTGTAGTTTGCTGTCCGTGGTTGTAGAGATCCTCAAAGGTCATGGTCTCGGAAATTTGATCGCCGAAATGCTCCTCAGCGAGCTTACGCTCGTCTTCTTTTGTGAATCGGGGAATATCCTTGCCGCTTGCCTTGTCCATTTCGGTAAACAAGAACCAGTACAAGCGTTCCTCGGGCGCAGTGAGAACCATATAGTTGCAATTCTTGAAGAAGGCGTTGATTTGCAGCGGTCCTGTTGGCACCGCTTTCGGCCTCTTGGAGATGCCGAAAATACATTTGCATACGGATTGAAGGCCTACAGATGTGGTTAGAATATGCATAACCTCAATGGTGGCTTGTGGGTTACAAACCAGAGAGCTCATCGTCTTTGAAGAGGCCAGGGCTGGCTTCAGACGCCAGGCGCCACATTTCTTTGCGGACTGCGCTGTGGACACCATCACCACCGATGACGATGTCACCGGTGTACACGGAGCCATCCTTTGTATGGACTGCAACATGGTCTTCATGATGATCCACCCGCGTGACCCGTTTGTCTGTCATGACTCGATTCTTGAACTTGAGATTGTCGTACAGCACTTGAATGACGGTCCTGCGGTCGATGAACATTTGAGGATAACCGATTCTGACGTGGCGAGTTAGCCATAGGATTTCATCCCACGAATGGATTTTGCAGGAGTGGAAGTCAATCATACCTGTCCTCCAGCTTTTCGGAAAACGTGACGGGTTCCTTATCAACCCATGTCTCTCCACTGAACAAGCGCATGCTGGCGGAGTAGTACGTATTGCCGGCCAGTTCCTTGATCTTTTCGTAACAACCAAGTTGGTCAAGAATGCGCAAGCCGCTCGGCAGTAGCCCAAGACTGGCGCCGAGCTGGGGCGCAATGACTGAGTGACCTTCAAGAAGAACATACTCAATGTCGAACTTTTCCAGCATGTTGGCTAGAGACAGCCCGGAGATACTGCCTCCAACAATGATCACCTTGAAGCCCATTGTAAACGAAGGTGGTGTGTGTTTGCTGATGAAATAAAGAAGACAGACAGAAAGAATGTGACTGTACCGGGCTTGATTGTCATTTCAAAAGTCGAGCGACAACAGCAGGCCTTTAAGTCGACGTACGTCGGAGTCGCCGCTCCAACGGGACCAAAATCTTTCTGAGCCCGCCGGCCGCCGGAGATCCGGCTACCGAGTTGTCGTCGCGAAGCGGGAGCGGGTCAAATTTTCTTAGCGGCGGTGCCCGGACAGTGCGGCCGCCGAACATCCGCCGAGCGACATTTCGCAATCCAGCAGCACCAGGATGTAGCGACAACCTCTCACCGTGGCAGGGAAGGGTCCCAGGTGATCAATGCCCATGAGTTGAAAGGACTCACAAACCTGGACGTCCACAGGTGGTGCTTTGGGCTTGTTCGGTTGATGTCTTGCATACATCCAGCAGCCGGCGATGTAGTCAATGACGTCCAATGCCATGCGCGGCCAGTACACTGATGCCACCAGCTTTCTTCTCGTGCAATTGGGTCTCCAGTGCCCCGCATCATCATGGGCGGTCTTCAATGCGTTCGACACTTCACTCTCAACCAGACACAGTTGCCACAGACCCTTGCCTGCGCAATGAAGGAGCTTTGCGTTTCGATCTTGTAATGGGTAGCCTGGGCTGTGATGGCTCTGTTCCAGTGTCTGCTCCAGCCGTCGGCGGCCGTGGTTGACATTAGGATTGCAATGATGTCCTTGTACCACTGTGATTCTGCATACTTGCCGAGCCCGGGAAGTTTGAGTATGGTGTTCGACAAGGTATTATGTCATGATGAAAGCACATTTCGTTGGTCACTATCAACGAGCAGGATATGTCTTCGGGCTGCTTCAGGTGGAGGTACTGTGTCTCTCATGATTCCCAAGTTTCTGCCGAGAAGTTAGCCATCTGCCACAGAAAACGGCGTATAACACCAATATAGGAAAAACGGACCGGCCAATACCTGTAGACTGAAGGCTGTAGTACTAGAGATGTGATGATACCGAAGCAGCGAGAGCGCGCTTGGCAGTGAGGTCTGTTCGTCGATGATGACACCGCAAGAGAGAAGTGATGATAGCGTCATGAAACAGAGGCAGTGGCAGTGAGAGAATAGAGGCATGGTGATGGTACTGGAACTGAGAAATGATGGTGGTGTCGGGAAGGAGAGGTAATAGTGATGCCAGAAGAGAGAAGCGGCGATGATACCTGAGGAGGGAAATGATGATGGCGTCAAAGAGGAGGATTGATAGTGATGGTGTCAGAGAGGAGGATTGATGATGGCGTCAGAGAGGAGGATTGATGATGGCGTCAGAGAGGAGGATTGATGATGGCGTCAGAGAGGAGGATTGATGATGGCGTCAGAGAGGAGGATTGATGATGTTGGCGACAGAGAGAGGCGGCGATGGTAGAGGAGGAAATGATGATGGCGACAGAGTGGAGGAGTGATGATGGCGAAAGAGAGAGATGGGCCGGGGAAAAGGGGTGAAGGAGAAAAGGGGAGTTTTTGTGAAATAAAAAGACCACCAGGCGATCAAACCCTGGGGACAATGTACAAGTTTAAGGGCCTTCCTGAGCCCAAGCAGTTTAAAGTCATACTCGGGACTTTGAGGTCTTTCAGGTTGATTGACTGATCATCCTCGTGCACTTGTTGAAGGCTGTGCTTGACTCCGAGTGCCCCATCTTTCCCTTATGCTTGTATACTACACCGAGTTACTTAGTATTCCTCATAGATTTCGACATGCTTCTTGAGGGTTCCACGGGCCAAAGCACTCACATACGAAAAGATTGCCCAGGAAGGAGTGACAGACTCGCCACAGCCCAGGCCGGGAGGCTACCGCGGCTGCTGACACGGAAGGATTCATGAAAGATAGCTTAGAGTCCCTGCGATAGGGAGATAGGGTTCGAGATAACCTGTAGTTGATTGAGGCTGTTGGCGATGGCTGTTTTGCTTGGGTGGTGGATGGGCGTGGTGGATAGAGAAGGTACAGGTGAGAAAGGTAGAAAGGGAGGTAAGGTAGGCAGTTAGGCAGGCAGGTAAGCCGGCAGTTAGGCAGGCAGTTAGGCAGGCAGTTAGGCAGGCAGTTAGGCAGGCAGTTAGGCAGGCAGGTAGGTAAGCCGGCAGTTAGGCAGGCAAGCAGGCAGGCAGGCAAGTAGGCAGGCACGTAGGGATCAAGCAAGGAAGGAAGGAAGCCAGGCAGGCAGGCAGGTTGCTTACCGACCTAGCTACCTTACCTACCTTACTTTGCTGTTATCAGAATATACGAATAAAGCCCTGGAGTCATGTGCCATTTCGTAGGTTTGCTACCTGGCCAAATTTTGATGTGCTTGTCAGACATTCACCTTCTCTTCTCTGTGGTGTTGCTTCTGCGTGCCGCCCAACGGTACTACCACCATCACCTTGGCTTCTCTCAACCGTCCTTAATGCCAGGCTGCACCGCCTGCAGATCTCTTGTGCACAGGAAGGGATTAGCATTTCACATTTGCCCACACGCGGCAAAATCTTGCAGGGCGTCTTGTCCGAGACAGCAATGGTTCAAAAACTTGACGAGGACCGCCAGCACTGCTTCACAATGGTTGTCGCGGTCTCGGCATCCATTCAAAAGCCAACACGGGCGTTTTCAAAGGAACGACATCAACCTGTGGGCAGAAGTGGCATGCTTGACCAGGATGGATGAGGCTCGGTAGGCCCAGGACCACGCCAATTGGTACGCATTCTCCCTTTTCCCCTTGTGATGGAACTCGCGTGTTGCGAATTCGGGCTTCAGCGTCCGGCACGGGCCGAGACAGAATGAAAGCTGAACTGGCTGGGTCAAGTTCACGTGCGGAAAGGAACCGGGGTCGCCATCCAATGGCCGTGTCGTGACGAACTAGGGCATCCTTCAGCTCTCCCCAGTTCAGTCAGCCACAAAACCTCATCTCGAGCTTGGCTGTACTGATTAGGAGCCCCTGAACGCACGCTATCGAAGACACTGTCCCAGTTGGCCATGCCAGACTGAGGAGCTTTCTGCCAATAGTGACAATGTCAACCATGAGGTTTGTCGTATTTGGTCACTCCCACCCCTGGCCCGCCATTCAGCTCGTCCTCAAGCAGCCGGTCCAGGCCTTTTGACGGCATACTCGTGCAACATGACAGCAACATTTTTTGTCTCACGTTCTTTCCCCTCTTTTGCATTTATAAATTGTAGACTGGTCATGGAACCAGCTTGTTTGTTGATTGCGCTGTCTTCTGTTCTTCCTACTTGCTCCAGAGACAGACAATCATCATCCACATTGGCCTGACATGTCCCGAACAACCGTTCCCTGTGCGCACCAAGCCCACGACAATCTCAACAGGAAGCGGCTGGTGGTCTGCTGTGATGGAACCTGGAATAACTCGTGAGCAGCTCCCCATTCCTGCTGGCCTTACACGACGGAATGCCCTGACAAGGAACCATGAAGAAACGACACCGACAGCCCAGCCACGAATGTGAGTCGGCTGGCCGGCGCAGTCGCCCACAAGTGCTGCAGCGGCATGCCGCAGGTCATCTACTACCACCCCGGTGCTGGCACCGAGTCGTCCTGGGTGGCCAAGAAGCTCGGCGGTCTCCTCGGCCTTGGCGTCGTCCAGGATATTGCCGAGACATATCGCTTCATCTGCGACAACTACAACCCCGGCGACGAGATTATCCTCATCGGCTTCTCGCGCGGTGCCTTCACCGCGCGCTCCGTGGCAGACATGATTTGCAACCTTGGGTTCCTGAACCGTGCTGGCCTCGACCATCTCGGTGACATTTTCCACGACTACTCCACGTGGGAGGAGTGGGCGGATGAGAAGAAGTTTGACCCGTCGAAGCACCTTGTCGGCTTCTGCATCGAGAACTATGATCAAGTGCAGCGGAGGAACATTGCGTGGAAGAGCCAAAATGCTGCCAACCTGGCCACGGACACGTCTGTACAAGGGGAGCCGCCCGGTTCCATGAAGCAACGGCCCAAGGAGGCCAAATCGTTCCAGGAGAGCATGCTCTCGGGTGGCGGTGCCAAGACGGCGCCCGAATACGCCAAAGACCTTGAGGACAAGATGTACGACGGGCTCCTGAAGCAGAAGCAGATTCTTTGGGAGAAAATCAGAGCAGCCAAGAACCGGGCCGAGATCTCGGCGCTCTACCGTCAAGAGCTTTTCGATGTACGTATTTTCCCACCTTGTCCCCTGCTGCGCTGCGTCGTACATGGCCGATTGACACCACACAGCACAGACTGGCCTTGACGGAAAAGGCCAAGAACGGGGATGCCGGGTTCAGCTACGTGCCCTGCCCGGCCAAGGTCAAGGCCGTCGGCGTATGGGACACGGTCGGCAGCCTCGGTGTACCCAAGGGCCCTTGGCGCGCCGTTACCGGCGGCCGCAGCGACGACGAGATTCGGTTCGCGAGTCTCGAAATGCACCCCAACGTCCAGCACGCCTTCCATGCGCTGGCCCTTGACGAGTACCGCTCCGCCTTTGGTCCGACGCTCTGGGAGCTCGGCGCTGAGAACACGACGACGGTGCTGCGCCAGGTCTGGTTTGCGGGCAACCACGGCGACGTTGGTGGTGGATGGGAGGACGAGCAGAGCGCCAACGTAGCGCTCGCCTGGATGGCCGACCAGCTGTCGTCTGTTGGCGTCGAGTTCAGCAGGCCCGAGATGCAGCGCGTCTTCTACGACGTGCGCGCCTCGGCTGTTCCTCAAGCCTGGGGCATGGCCCAGATCCACAACCCACCACCCAAGACGGCCGCTCTCGACGTGGCCGTCAGCAGTGCTACTTTCAATGATCCCACGCCGCGGAAGCCGGGCCTGTACTACCGTGACGCGACTGTCGACAAGAGCGGCAACATGTTCACCAAGTTTGGCCGCACCGTCAAGGGCTGGGTCGGTATGGGACCGGACCGGGTCAAGCTGTCGACGACGGAAGAGCTGGTCCACCCGTCCGTGAGGCTTCGTTACCAGTACAAGGGTTCAGCCCCGAAGGGCGAAGAGGGCCCATATCGATGCCGGGCTCTCATTCAAAACGGGTACCGGCTCAAAGAGATTGCCACACCGAAGCCCAGGAAGGCTCCATCCATTGAGTCGCCGGAACCCGTCTACAAGGCTGTCAGCGGTAACGTCGCGGCGTTCCGCAACGATAGCGACCTTGGTGACAAGTCCTTCACCGATGTCCCAGGGACCACGGCGCTCGTGCGCGTCCAGCAGCCGCACGAGGAGTGTGACGTCGTGACCCTGCCGCCCGCGCAACGCGGCTGGATGTGGGTGCGCCCAGCGCAAGGCAAGGATGAAGCCGAGGTCGAGCTGTACGAGGAGCAGATCGGCCTCTGGGAAAGACTGTACATGAAGGTGCAAGAGGAGCTGGTGGACTGGAAGCCGCTGTACGAGGCGAGACAGGCAAAGCTGAAAGCGGCGGAGGACGCGAAGCAGTGGGCAGCCGTCCGAGTCGCCGGCACAGCAGCCTCGGGCGTCGGAAACTTGCTGGCAGCGCCGTTTGGGGCCATCAGGAGGTGGCGCACCAGCAACCCTGATGCCGAGGCGGCTGTCGCCCAGACCATTCTGTACAACGCTGTGTGGGGATATCACGACCTGGTCGTTTGGCTGAAGGGTGATGTTCGAAAGCTGTTCCCATGATGGGCGAGGCTGCCAGTGGCCGGAAAGCTTGGAGCTTGGACGATGAATCGTATGTCTTTTGCCTAGGTTGCTTCTGAAGCGCGAGTAATAATGATATCATTCCATCGATGTTATGTACTGAAAGTTGGCCTTTGTAGGTACAGATTTCATTCTCCATCCTCTTTCCACAAAAACTCAAGTGTGGCAATGAAACGTGATCGTCAGAGACTCATGGCGTATTCAGAATTGACGAAAATGGCCTGTTGCTGTATCGTGTTATATGCCGCATACAAGTACACACCATGCACTCTTGAGCCCATGCTGCTCACTCCATGTACACAACATCGATCGCCAGGATGCCGTGTAGTATTCAGCGAGCCCGCTCATGGCCAAGACCATGCCATGAGGTTGGTGAAGCCAAGGAGGAAGGCGATGATGACATCTCACCCCATCAACATGCCAAGCCGTGCTGCTACACATGAGGCACCATCAAATGATCAGCTGATCAACCATATCGCGCTTGTCGAGCGAGCACCAGAATAGGGAGAGTCCGGTGAAAGACACTCAGAGCTGCCATGCCCATGCCGTCACCCAAGCTAGGGCACAGTGTGTCGGGGACGAGGCTAACATGACAGGCCACTCCTTGTATATGTATCATGCCGCATCCTCTTGCAGGCAAGACGGAAATCGATGGCGCCGGACTTGGCCCGGCTCCTCAGCCGGGCGGCCGGGATGCCGAGCCCGGGGTGTCAGTTGTGCGACAGATGACGGCGGCATGTCGTTATCAGGGCCGCATGATGCAGGTCATAAGGTCCCTCTGAAGGGGGCGTCAACCCGCGAGAGCCGCGATGCCCCGCGGTGGCTGGCCAGTGAGTGTGACATCCGGTTCTCTGGATCACTGGTAGCGTTGGTTCTTAGTGCCGGCGTGGCGAGGATGTGGGTGGGCGGGTGGGCGGTGAGAGGGAGGGAGGGTATCGTGATGGCAGGTGACCCGATTTGCTGGTGGGCAGCCAGTGTGTCTAGCTTGGGGAACTTGGAATCGAGTTGAGCTTTTTGGGCCGTTGTGTTTCTACACCACACTGTGAGCTCAGAAACAGTCGGCGATCCTCTTGGACTCCCTTTGAGACTGTTAAGCTATTGTGGAGGGGGGTTCTGTTTGTCAGGCGAGGTTTGGGTGGTGGTGCATTCACAGCTGTGGCTCAGAGTCAACCGCCCGCACATGTCAAGTCTATTTCAGGGGCTGAAGGATTCATGGTCCATTTCCAGCCCCAAGAAGGATGGCGCTGGGACGGTCTACCCGATGGCGGCCAAGCGCGCGGGAAACGGGAGATGGAATGATGGATGCTTGACACTGGCCCAATGGGCGGCCTGAACCGACATCATCTTGGGGTCGTTGGATCGTTGGGGGCCTCTACTTACCTCCTTGGGTGGGTGCCCTAGAGCCTGGGACTGGGGCTTAGTGAAAGAGGTTCGGGGCCAACAACAGAATGGCCATTAGGGGGGGGGGGTCAAACGGAGATCAGGGCACTTTTTACAGTGGACTCAAGTGTAACGCGCGCGCGTTTCAGGGGCTGAGCAGTAACCAACGGCACCTGCAGGTTTTCGGCTTTGGGACCGACAGCCCATGCGCCGAGCTCATGGAGTTAGCGCTCTCGCCGCTCTAAGATGTCCCCGCTCAGGCTGGTCGTGCACAGCCACGCCCCATTCGGAATTCATTTATGCATATGCACGCTATGCACAAGCATATGCCGCTCTGCTCTTCATTGTCAGCCGCCCAGGCCGTGTTCAAAAGATCAGTTGTGGACGAACTGAGCTGAAAGTGTCGAGGCAGAATATAAAGAGAAGCCTTCACGAGTATATCGAGACAATTGCCAATGTCCTCGGTCCAATCTTACATATTGTTGAGATGCAAGGCGGTGATGGGCATACAATTCAAGCAAGCAGCACTTCCAGAACAAGCTGCCCATGCATGTTGGCTGGCTGTTGGCTGTTTCGATATCGGCCGACTCGCCGTTGGCCCCCAACTCATCATGCCAGTATTGATGCACTCGCCAACATCGCCCATCACCTTTGCTCCAAAACCCTCTTCATTCTCGATTGCCCTCTGAACCCGAAATCCCTCTCCCCTCTTTGCTCATCCCCAAGCCAAATCGGCACAAACGACCCAAATGGCGGGCTCTGAAGCACAGCGTGCGATGTTTCGCCTTCCAGTCGAGCTGTGGTGGGACATCTTTGACTACCTCAACACCCCGCCTCTGCATCTTTCCTACCGCGGACAGCATGTCGTGCTTTCTGACTGCTTGACACCCAATCCCTCTTGCGACGATGATGGAGCCGAGCGGTACCCTGAAGTGGAAGCCACACCGCACAACTCAACGATGAACGAAAGTCGATGGGGCGATGCCTGGTATGACGGTATGACCTGTTCAAAAGGTAGCAGAGACACAGATGCCATCATGGCGAAGCGCCTGCGGTCAACTTGGGGTCCTCATTGGAGATGCGAGGCCGCTTCCTCAGATGGCGACCTTGGAGTGAGGAAGCTTCTCTTGGTCTGCAAGCACATGTGAGCAGTGAAGCAACCGTACTCGTACCAACAACCCTAACCGCATGTCACACAGGTACAGTGAAGCCATCGAGTACATGGTCCATCGCCTCATCTTTCACATCACCGACTTGAATACCCTCGACGCCCTTTGCCAGACCCAGCATACCGCAGAAGGTCTACCCAAGACTACTTCACTGATCTCCATCGGCCACGGAATGCAAGCGCTTCACGTCACCTTGAGGCTCCCTTTCGAAATATTTGAGGCGGTTGATGGACTGCGATCAGAGTCAAAGAAAATGCAGGAGCTGGCTCTTCAATGGACGCAAGCGTGGCCGGCCGTCGCTGCGCTTAAAGGCCTCCGGAAGATCCGAGTGGAACTAGACCATACCAACTGGTCTTCCTGGTCTGTCATAAACGAGCGTGCGGTACTCTCTTCGCTCGGCACACTCAAGGCTCTTGTGCCTGGTCTCGTACTCACTGTTGTTCTTCCCAATCTTCATCCGTTCTATGAAAAATCAGACCGTCATTTCACCCACGACAGCCCTGAACCATCTTTTCCGATAATCCGCCGAGTACGCCAAAAGTATCATTGTCGGCAGGGCCCCGACGGTCGACGGAGTATAGTACGATCAAGATATGATACCTTCCCAGTTTGGGTTCCTGCGGAGCTCGAGTTGTTGGAGATTGAGGAGCATCCAGTCCCCCAACCGTCTCCAGAACAGTATCGAGAGATGGTCGAGGAAGAACGACAAGGGTGGAGAAACGGCATAGACTATCATGACTTCATAGCAGAATTGCTGGGTTCGTCACCGATATGTTACGGCTGAGTACTGATGCCAGGTGGCCCCTGCGGAGCCACGGGACAGGGCTAATTAGGGCCTTAGGACTACGCGAACCTGTATATGAGGACCGCGGAGGGCCAGAATTCTGATGTATTACACCCCCAGACCTATTATCTACCGCCTGCGGACCACGGGCGGAATACCTCTTTACTCTGCCCAAATCACGCTCCGACAACTGATTCGAGGTCAATGGCACGTATCCTCGTCACACCAACTGAGTTCTGGCTCCCTATTGTTCTCATACGTTATAACCCTGAATCTTGTTGTCACGTTTCGTGTAGCACGGGCTTTGTGGTGCTCAATGTTGACAAAGTATTTGAGAAGCCGAGTTAGTCTCGGTGAAGAAGTATTCTACCGATGCCTTCAAGTAGAAAAGATCTGAATACTCTAATCCGCTTAGTTTATGATTCTAGGGTCGTGGGAGGATGTTGCCTTCCCGGTCAACGTAGTAGCCAAAGGTCCAGATCTCCAGAGCTATGCCCAACAATGCGATTGAATCTAAAGACTGAGTCAATATCGCCCTGACGAGGTGTGGCTTGAAAAAACCATACCTGAATTATTCGCGTCCTCCAACATGCCAGCACATAGCCAACCATAACAGCTGCTTACACCCTTGATGTCCTCGACATTGGTATCAAGTAGCAATCCGCCTTGATTGGTATGTGTAAACTGTGACAGTTAATTCATCTGGACCGAGTATTCATGGAAATTTCTGACCTCGTGCAGTACGGTACTTCCGAGAGTCTTCACACCGTCGATTGGAACAGTGGGATGGATAAGACCCTCGCGGAACTCGGTAGTGCTGGCCTTGTCGACGCGAGCCTTATCAATCTTCGGCCATCCTTGCTGGTCCGCGGTCTCGACGAACCACTTGCAAAGGTCGATATCATTCGAGTCGCGTCTCATCATTCTATATTGTGGATCCGTTTTCTTTACCTTTGCTCCGTTTTCACGATCACGTGTGAAACTCCTCCAGTCGACAACATGGGAGGGGGTCGTCATAGCTTTGACACTGCTGACTCCCGACCCGAGTTGGTAATCCGTCGCATAGCATTCTGCCAGTTTACCTGTAACATTCATTGCAATCCACCGACTCCATCCTTGATGATACGCAGTTACCGTCCTTGCTTGAGGAAATCGCGAACCGTCACACCAAAAAGCCTGTCGAAATGGTCAGTCACGGTTTTTGAGAGAATTTTGTGTAAAGTTTCTCATTTCACTCTAGAATGCTCGGATCATGTGAAAAGCAATGAAGATCCACACCGTTGTGTTGAGAATCTAGCATACTTGGACATGTGGCAAAGATATAGGACCAGGTTGTGAGGCATGGAAGGGCTTTGTGAAGTACTGACGACGTCTAGGTTGCTTCTTCTGGCTGTCCACCCCTCATCGAGTGGCATGAATTGCGATGGTGTCTCGGAAATTTCCGAAATCCCTTTAAAGTTTTCTGAGGGAACAGATGCGCGTCAGTTTGGAGTGTTGTCTTGCTTCGGCAGCCGTGCTCACCTTTGACTTTGTCAAGTTTGGCTTGGAAATCCGAGTTGCCCAGCATTGCCTTGGTCATGTCCAGTACATATTTGTCATCAATATGGTCAGTGAGGATTCTGTGTGCATTTCTTGCAAGTCCAATGGCATCTAGTATCTGGCCAATGATACCATCTCGACGACGAAAATCACCGTCATTATCTGATGAGCATTAGATTGCGCTTGCAGCAGAAATAGGTTCCGTATGAAAATCGAATGAAAGACTTACCACAAGATGGCGCAAGGGAAAATTCCGGCACAGCCAGACAGAAACTCAGGTTGACTAGCAGATAGACGAAAGCAAGCTTCATTGTGGCAGCTTATTGGGATGTTGCGAAAACAAGATATCGTTCAGTATTGATGTTGGCAATTTTATGATGATGAGCTGAGCTTGGAGCCATCGAAAGTGAACAGAGCACAGAGGTGAGGCCGAAGCCCAAGATATACACTGCCCCTCCGATATCTGGACAAGACAGCGAACCAAGAATAACCTATGAGGCCAAACAAAGACTAAATTATGAGCTATGGGCTTTCATGCTGATGCCTCATCACCGATATGCTCAAAATCCAAATATCGTGATCAAGTACGCCCAATTGGGGGTTTCATCGTGGTAGGGCAGCCGGCATGCTGTGACAGGGGGGTCTTTGAGGGGGCCAACACAATTCATCTCTGCCTTGTCACACTCTTCGAGTGCACCTCATGAGAGCATCATGGCCATACTGAGCTCCGAATCACCATGCGCACATCATGAGTATGAAAACTGATAAGTTCGCGTATATGGTTGTTGGGACGAACAACCGCCCCCAGATTGTTCCTGCATAGCCCCTGTTTCATCAGCACCAACAAGCCGACATCCAGGCCACCGCTCCGCCCCAACGATCGAATTCTCAAAAAAGAGGCCCCAGGCCATACAATGTGGCGCATTAGGGGCCAACCGCCATCATGCAATCTTCTTGAACCAACGTCTATCAGGCAATGATACAGGTCGTGACTTGGTGCTGTGCCTCAGCTTGCGTGGGCCAACCTCGATTACTTGCCGCGTTGGACGTTGAAGCCACGACCCAAATGCCGACCTGGGGCGCGTAGAGCACGAACTCATAGCCGGAGATGCCAGTTCTTGAGCTGTACACTTTTATTGCATGGGGTCTTCACCATGTCTGACACGGGGGCGAAATTTACTAAGTCCCAGGCTCTGCCATAATAAAACAAGGTACTGTCCATATCTGCTGTCCACGACTGACTTGGGGGGGTAGTCTTTGATCGCCCAGACTCTCTGAGCCCTATTTTGGAAAAGAAAAAAGCATATTTGAGATATTGCAAGCCACTATGAATCTGTTGTTTTATCTACTCTTTACTGTCTTTGTGGGAGTTCTATCGGGAGAGGTTCTCGATCTTGGGGATTTGGAACAATTCTCTCCCAGAACGGTGGGTTCTTCACCCCGTGTCCTCGCACTTCGTTGGCCAATACTGACCGAGAAACTCAGGATGTCAAAGCGCCTTCACTCAGTGGAACCACTGTCTGGCTCTCTGGAAAGGAAGGCAATGGTTACGATGTGTCTCTCTCAGCCGAGACCCAGTCCAAGATCCACGGCATCTTGGAAGCTTGTGGCGAGGTTGACGACAAGTGCTACCAGGAGGTCCGTCAACTGCTTCGCAATGCGGACCTGCAGATCGACGGAGAACTTGAGCGTCGCGGCTTTGTGCAGTTCCTGTCCAAGACGTTCAAGAAAGTGGGCTCTGTCTTCTCGTTTATCGCTGGGGTCCTTATATCCAACTGGTCCATGAAGCAAGAGCAGCCCACAGGCATGTTCGTGCCCCATGAGATCGCAAGCCAGGCCTCCAAATTGGAGACGACTGGAGTAGTCGTCTCTGCAGACGGCACGGCTGTGGCGACTATCACATCAACACCAGATCCGACAGTACTTCAGGGGTATGTGAAGCAAGAAAGATAGTTGTTTCACTAGACTAACTCTTGATTCTCCTGCCAGGTCACAGACTCCTTCCGTCACTCCCGTCACGGAGCCAGAGGGAGAGAGCTCGAGTGGTGATCTTGTCGCCTTTCTGGATGAGGACCTTGCATCACGTATTGACGAGGTCATGCACAGATCTCAAGACTGCGATGATGGCCGTGCCTTTGACCGCGGAGACAAGACGAGGAGGAAACGCGCAACTGGCGGTTTTGGCAAAGCCATCTGCGCGGCGGAGGCAGCGGCAGTCATGAGTCAAAGGGGGGGCCCGTTCAACGACCTTCTGCTCATCAATCCAGCTCATCTGTCCTTCGACTTTGCCGAGACGGCTGGCGCCGTTGCCCGGGCGGCAAATGTTGCGTCAGACTTTGTCCGGGCATACGCGCCAATGCTGGACATTAGTCCAATTCTTGCTGAACAACTAGGGAACCTCCTGTTTGCGTTGGCAGTCAACACATTGATCGAGAACAGGCCGGTCAACCAAAATAATAGGATTGAGGCATCACTGATCAGGACAGAGGCACCAACGGCTTCGCCGACAAGTTGCCCGGACCCAGAATCAACCCCAGTGAGTTCCACGTGCTGTACTCTTTACATGCCTGCGTTTGCTGATCCTCCTGTCATTACCAGCTTCTGTGTGGGTTCGGCAAAGAAACAGATGACTGCAACGTTAAGCTCCCAGAAACATTGGATGACGAACCTACATGTAAGGATGTAAGTCGAGTTACATCCCTGATGGCCTCACCGAACATTTTGGCAAAGGCATTCGACTGACGGTGACCGAAACAGAGCGAACACCAAGGCTGCGAGTGCAATGCGCCTTCGGAGAGCATTGAGAACATTGCTTCTGACGAGGAGCAAAAGTCGATGATTATCATCGCAGACCTGTTTGAGTCTATCGGCCCGCCAAACTCCCCGAAATGCGAACACGATAAGCTGAGTGAGATACCGTCCAACGTCTTTTATTCGTGGGAGAATAAGGTCTCCAGCCGCTTCTGCGAACAGTGGGATGAGAGCACCAAGCTTGAGATGATTGTCGATGCTTCAGGCGAGGACAGGAAGCCCCAGTTCGAGGAGTCGCGTTCCCTCCAACGGCGGACTCCTCCTCCGGATCCAAGCAACTACTCCAAGTACGACTTTAGGCTGCGCTTCACGCCGGCCGAAGAGAAGAAGAAATGTGCGATGGACTGCAACAAGGCGTACTTGACGCTGGCAACAGCTTGCCAGAACAATGGAGGTGAGTTTGCATGCATGTTTGTGAGGCTCCATACGTTGCAATTCTGACCGAAGGGTGTTCCATTAGCCGCGGGCGTTCTCATGGCCAAGAGCGGCAAGGTGGACGTGGACTGTGGGACTTTCGACTATGCGATTGAAGAGAAGGTCGTCTACTCGCCAAAGGAGCCCCCCATGCCTGATCCCGCCACTCCCGCCAAGACGCCCTTGAAGGTATTCCCTCGTTTCTGCTTCGCCGCCGACGCGTTCGGTGACCACGGCGACATCCAACCCAGCATGGTGCGCGATTACAGCTCGTATCCCTGTTACAGGTCGTCTGAGTGGCCCATCAAGCAAGACGACAAGTCCACGTTCCGACGATGGGCGACCATGACGAATGATGTGCCTTATCAATTCAACATTTACTGGAAGCACGGTTGCGTGTCGGAAGGACCGGATGAGGCGTATTCTACGGACCCGTTCAACAGCGGGAAGCCGGACTACAAGCTTTGCTATGACACTATGCGGGACAACTACAGAAAGTGCAACAATGGCGGTGTGGGCGGGAATATCCAGATTGGATGCCTGGTCTATGAGTTCAAGGCGCAGACGGTTCAGTAATTTGAGTGCTGCCAACTGTGTATGAGTATCCGTGAAATGCAGAAATGTCAAGGCTCTGAGTTAGACCACTATGGAATGCTGGGAAATGCCGTTGATAATCAATACTCTCAATAAAGTTCCTATACTTTTTTCTTTTTTGGGTAGCAATGGCCTGTAGTCTCACATGTCGTCCACGTTGGCCTGTTGGTGAACGTGGCGCAACGGCTCCATGTCGACATTTTGTGCACATGTGGCTGTGTTGTGCAAACACAGCCATCACTCGTTTTCAATAAGGCATAAAAGCAGCGGGACCCCTTGTTCACATTCAGGCGGCCCCCCAACTAGGCCAACTAGGGGGCTGGCTCACTGACCGACCGCGATGGCCCGATCGTACCTTGCCTTGGTTCCATGACCGGGCCATGCTGGCGACCCCAAACAGGACGGCTGTAGCGAGCTGTCAATCATGTAAACCTACCACCAATGTCGAGCGTCCAGATTCCAGGATGGTGAGATGCCGTATTTCGCCGTTTGGATCGCCTAATGGCGGGGCAAAAAGCATCGGGTCAAGATGGTCAGGGCGGCAGATGGCGATGGACACATGAATTGCACCTATGGAGCAAGACATGGCTTCAAAAGAGCATGGGAGGTCCCCAGAGGTCGAGTGAGCCAGAGGAGAACCAGGAAAAAGCAAAGGCGACTGGACTAAAGAGTGAGGCGAGCGGCAGCAATACGTAGGATCACCCCTTCCGTGCATGATTGCGCAACAGAGCGTCTGCTCTGATTCGACGTGACGATGGGGGCTGTTGACGCGACCAGCCAACCAGAGACGCGAGCTGTCTTGATTGGGCCATTGTCTCCCTGGGATACGCCTGTCGCAGGTGTGGGCTTAGCATCCAGACGCGTCCGGTCAGGTCCAGCTGCCCGAAAGCGCAGCAGAAAGAAAGAAAGAAAGAAAGAGAGAAGGAAAAAATGGGGGAGCCGCTGATTACTGGGGCGCTGCTGCCAAAGACGGACCTGAGCCTGAACTGACTCTGGAGCTGGAGCAGGTGCACTGGGCAAATGGGCAAAGGACGAAAGAAAAAAAAAATCATGCCCAACACTTGAGCAGTTTCATCTGATCCGTCTGTTCTGCACACAACGCAAAAGAGCAACCGCCAGGGCGAAGCATTTTCAGAAGGGCGACAGTACAATCTAAGGTAGCTTAGACACCGAGCCACGATCACTTCACAGTTTGTTTGCCAAAACACGACGCTCCAGCAGCACCGACTCCCAGCTTCCAAGGGCACGCGGATCATCGATTATCACACAGGCTGTCTCCTGATCCTCCTGTCGCTGCCGAGCCCACTACGCTCTACCTCACCTGAAGGGAAGGGAACCAAAGCGCATCCCAAAAGTCAACCCATCCCTGGCCTCAGATCCCGCCAGCCAAAACCTCCTTTTCACTTGAAGCGCGAAACGCTCAGATAACCCTCCATTCCACCTCTGGGCCCTCCTGTCCTCCCCCCCCCCCCCCCCAAAAAGGACACTCGCCTTGGCCAATCTTCAGATCATCACCACCCATACCACACCCCCGTTGATTCTGAGACAGGGCGACCCCAACTTACCCTCCACCCCTTCTTGTTTCCTGGTTTGATCTGTCTTGATTCAGAACCGACACCCGCGCACGACACTTGACGGAGCCACACGCCTGACCTCGTGTACCATCGCTCCTCCCACCTTCTCGTCGCTAGCTTCATCAGCTCCCATTCAGCTTCGCTCGCAAATCGCACGCCCGGTATCTCAACCTCGCCCCTTGAGCTACTGTCCGTCATCGTGACAGACTTGCGTGTCGGCCCCCTCCAGTTTCTCCCCCAGGCCCCAGAGGTCCCCTACAAGGCTTGCCCCCGTTACCTGGCCAGCACATCTTCATCTGCATCGCCCACTTTGGCCCCCCCGTACGCCCAACCATTCAGACGTCACGAGAGGTGCAAATCTGCATCTGTTTTTTTTTTCTCCTCTTCCTCTTCTGCACCTCATCGCCCAGCTTCGCCCCCCCAGTTTAAAATACCGCGACCCCAAGGGAACCACCCAACCGCCCTGCCAGTCAACTCTCCCCACGCATCTGCCCAACATCAAGGCCCAATCAAATCGGCAAAGACGCACGACGCATCATTCCCAGCGTCACTGAACAGCCAGAAGTAGCAGCAGTAGCAGCAGCAGCCGCCGCCGTCGCCATGGTGTCCTTCTCATGCGAGGTACGTCCCTTTTTCTTCTTGTTTCTGTCCGTCTTCTTTCTGTGTATCTATTTGGGCGCCCGCCCCTCCTTCACCCCGTGTGTCGGGACCTCTTCTCGACTCGACCCCCCCCCCTGGGCCCCCCTTGTTCCCTTCCTCATGCCTCCCGCCCGTCCCCCCTCCACCAAAGCTGGAATCTCCTAATTTCCCCCCGTCGACACCTGACATCACACGCTCGCGCCGCTCCCTCCTAAGCTCTCAAACATACCACCACCACCCTCGACCCTCAACCCCTGCTCACACACCATACCCATACCATACCCGTCCCATACCAGTCCATCCCGAACCTTGACGACCGAACCCCCCCCTTACTTCTGCCCCTCGAGACCCTACTGCTCCTCCTGGCCGCCGTGGGAGCGTGTCCGTGTCTGCGCTTGCGACTACTTGATATATACTCTTGCTTTCCTTCCTCCCTCCCCTCCCTCCTGCCGCCATCCCTCTCTCGAAACCCACAGACTTCGCCTACCCCTCCACGCATACAACAAAACTCAGCCGACGTCCTCTCTGTTCCTCACCCAGCAAATCATCTAACTATTCCTCTCTCGCCTATAGGGTTGTGGTGATGTCTTGACCAAGAAGAAGCTCGACCCCCACAGAAACCGCTGCCGAGGAGCTACTTTCACTTGCATTGACTGCATGGTCTATTTCCCCGGCCTTGAATATCGTGCCCATACCGTAGGTTACACCCGCTCGCTCCGCCAGCATGATGTCTGGCGACTCGTATGCAATGGACATGGGACTGACACCCGTTCTAGAGCTGCATGACAGAAGAACAAAAGTACCAAGGTGCTCTTTATAAACCAAAGAAGCAGAAGCACAACAACAACCAAAACAACCAGCAAGTCGCCATGTCTCAACAACCCTACGTCGAGGACGTTCCCGAGTTTGCTGGCTATGAGTACGACGGCCACAGTGATGACGCCAAAACGCCAGTCGACCTGCCTGAGGCGCCCACCCCGCCGCCCGCTGACGAGGGCCCTGTCAACGTTTTCGATTTCCTTGATCCGTCCGCCACCCCCAACGCATCGACACTCCAGCTAGGCCCTCTTGGCGAGAGGCACATCAACGAAGAGACGCAGCTCGTCCGATACGAGGCAGAGGCCAGCGCCTACCTCGATCCCTCCGGCGCCCCGGCTGACGAAGACCCTGAGGCTCCCTACCAGTATGGCACAGGTCCCATTCCCGGTGCTTTCGAGACGCCTGCCCCGCGCGGTGATCGCAAGAAGAAGGATGGCTCCGACACGAAGAAGGACAAGAAGCGCAAGCGCCTACACCTCGACACGGATCAGATCATGGCGGATGCGCCGCCTGTCCTACACTCTGGTCTCACCGGCGGCCTCAACCGTATGATGCGGCCAGCGTTCCCTCCTTCGCCCGACTATTCTGGCGGTGATGTCGCCGAGGCCCCTGTCAGCCCTCTCAAAAAGAAGAAGCCCTCGAAGCATTCCAAGCACGGCAAGCGCTCAGAGGGCAGCATCGGCAGCAACCTCATGGGGCTGCTCTCGTCCTCCAAGACCAAGACCAAGAAGCGCAAGGTCTCCTCTTCCTCTACGCGCAAGTCCTCCCGCCGCACCGACTCGGACAAGGCTACCAAGCTTATCGAGTACCGTCCTCGTTCGTCAGGCGACGACAAGGAAGGCGCGAATGCCGAGGGCCAGATGGTCGTGTTCCGTCCCAGGGGCGACCTCCTCCTGTCCTATGTCGACAAGGGCCCCGACAGCGACCGCGGCTACAGCATGAAGAAGGCTCTGCGTCACTTCCACCGCGAGCGCGACAACAGCTCTGACAGCCTCGGCAAGACCATTGAGGAGAAGGAGCTGTGGCGGTCGCTGAGGATGCGCAAAAACGATCGCGGCGAGATTGTGCTGTTTGGTCTGTGAGGGGCATTTTGGGGAAAAGGAGGGGAGTTCAGGAGCGATTTGATTTTGTGGTTTTGACCTTCTGATCTTGCGTAATCTTGCACCTGATCCAGATGGCTATTTTTCTCATGATACCTGGTGGACATGGAGATGGAGTGCAGGTCCTGCATGGAAAGTAAAGGGGGGTTGTCACGGTAGTGTTTTCCCACTCGTCACTCTACTTTGAGTTTTTTGCCTGTTCATATTTCTCCCGAGGGCGCACGCTCCTGGCTGGTCTTTGAGCTTACAGAGCAATGGCATGCGCGCGCATGACGATTCTCCTCCTCATCTCTTTGGCTGTTTGCGATATTGGGTCTTGTTCCTTGTACGATGAGAGCCCCAGGGCGTAATACATTTTAGAGATGATCCTGTTGCAAGGGGGTAGGTAGTCCAGTGGCAGCACATGTAGAGATACAAACATTGATCGCATGCTTCAACTTTATGATTGTGTCATGTAAATGAATTGGGGTAAAATGCGTTCGCTCCAAACGCCCGCGCCGTGTCATCAGACTAGATGCATTAATTTCCAAAAAAAAAACAGCCACCGCGTCGCATCCGGGCAGACCGAATCGCGTCCCTTTAAGGAGGGTTTGCGCAGTGTCGAGCACACAGACCAGTCAGACCCGATTGACTCGCGTTCCCTTGCTTGGATGCGCGACTCGACACGCGCGGCCTCGACAACGTTCAAGCATTTCCTTCCCCTGCGCCCCCAAGGCCCCCAAGGCCCCAATGGCCCCCAAACGTCCTATGTCCCTCCATTTTGCATCTGTCCTCACGCGACGCGCAAGGGCAGGATGTGCTGCACCAGGGCCTCCCGTCGACAGAGCGGACACTCGGGCTTCTCGCGGACCCAGTCGCCGATGCAGGACCAGCAGAAGACGTGACCGCAGCCCGTGGCGGCCGGGTCGCGCATGGGCTCGAGGCAGAGGGTGCACTTGCGCTGCTGGGCGCCGGCGACAAAGGCCATGACGGCGGCGTCGTCGAGGTCGTAGCGCGGGGCACCGGCGGGAACGGGGGTGTGTGTCAGGGCGGCGATATCGACGCGGGCCTGGCGCGGGGCGGCATCGCCGGGTGAGGGCGGTAGCAGGACCGACATGTTGGGGGCGTAGGCGTTGTCGGACATGGAGACGTCGGTGGCGGAGGGGGATGAGGCGTCGCGGCGGTCTGCTGCCGCCGCCGCTGCTGCTGCTTCGTCGGCCGAGGAGGCGAGGGTCTGGCGGACGTGGAGGTAGGACTGCACGGCGAGCTGGACGACGAGCAGCAGGCCGAGGAGCTCGTAGCCGGCGCGGTCGGGGGTCGAGGGCACGGTGCGGGTGAAGAGGTAGCGGAAGCCGAGGAGGCGCTTGGCGAGCTCGTAGTAGGTGCCGGAGAAGTAAAAGGTGGCGAGGGTCAGGGCGTGCAGGGGCGCGGCCGAGGTGTAGGTCGGCAGGTGGGCGAGGAGGTAGCGGCACACGGCGGCGTCGCGCGGCCGGCCCTTGTTGCGGGCTGTGTGCAGGCGGCCCTCGAGGTAGAGGCGCAGGCGGGTGCGTAGCGAGGGCAGGGCGCGGGCGCCGAGGTGCGGGAGCAGGACGCTCGCGAGGATGTAGGCGGCGCGCCGGGACAACGCGGGCAGACGGGCGGCGCCGTGGCGCGATGTGTCGATCTGGATGACGTCGCAGTATTCCTCGCCGAGCGTGCGGTTGCCGACGAGTGTCGTCAGCGAGAGGTAGAGCGTCTCGGCAAAGGCGCGCGTTGTTGGCAGGTGTGCGTGGGCGGAGCGGGCGCCGAGGAGACGGCGATGAATGTCGGAGAGCGTGTTGGAGAGGGTGCCCTTAAAGTAGGCGTCCTTCTGATGGGCGCGTATTATGTCGGGTGCCGCGGCGTAGGGGTAGGGAAATGTCGTTGATGTTGTGGTCATTGTGAAGGAGGGGCGGGCAGGGGGTGCCGCGGTCTGGGGGTGTTTGGACTCAGGTAGCCTTGGAAATATCCACCAAGAAACGGAATGGAGCAGAACTGTAGGTACGGTTGGAGTTTGGATTGTCGTCGCAGGCCCTTGATGGTTGTCGTTGGTGCCCCGAGGCGGTATCGTCGGAGTTGGAGTGGTGATGTTGCTTCGATGTTGAACCTCGGTGGTGAGGTGCCTCAGCTTCGTCTTGCCCCGGCACTCGGCTCACATGCTTCAGGGGAGCTGTGGCCAATCACAGGGGCTGCGCATTGCTGGTTGCAATAACACTATTCTGCAGCTGGTGCCGGCCGTCAGACACAAGGCTGACGTACCGCCGTATCGCCCCCCTATCTGTACTGCAGGGAGACGTTGCAAACTGCTGCACCTGCTGAATCCCCTGGATTTGTTCATCTTCGACGTGGCCACGCGACCTCGACCTCGACTTGCACCTTTTTCCCCGCCGCCCTTCCTCCCCGCCCTGTGCCATCCTCTCCTTCTCTCTCGATGATCGAACAACCAACGACCAGCCATGGACGGTGACCCCAAGGTCGAGTCGGGCCTAGACTCCTTCAGCCTGACCTTTCCCCTGCCATATCGCGTTGGCTTCATCATCATCCTGGGTACGTCAGACACGGCCATGAGGCCCCCCCCCCTCCCCTCCTTTCCACTTTCATGCTGACCCCTCCAGCTGTCTGGGGCTGGGGCATCAACCTCCAGTACCTCGCGCAAGCCAAGATCGATGTGCCCTCCCTCATTAAATACCCCGCGAGAGCATCCCCGACGCAACCGGCACATCATCTGTCGACCTACCGCCTGGCCACCGTCCTCTCGGCCCTCTTCTCCTTTTCTATCACGATATTCTGGCTCTTCACCCGCCGTAACCCCGAACTCGTTATTCAATATGACTGGATGCCCATGACATTCCTCGTGGCCACGGTCGGCGTCTTCTTCTTCCCCTTGCGGACCTTTACCCACCATGGCCGCACTCGCTTTCTCCAGACCTTGCGCCGCGTCAGCATTGGCGGCATCGCTCAGGCGCAGGACGGCAAATTTGGCGACATTCTCCTGGCCGATGCCCTGACCAGCTACGCCAAGGTTCTCGCAGACCTTTACGTCACCCTCTGCATGTTCTTCACCCCCAACGGTGCCTCCACGGCCCGCCCCGATCGCGGCTGCGGCGGCGCCGTCATGGTGCCCCTCATCATGGCCGTTCCGAGCGCCATTCGACTGCGCCAGTGCCTGACCGAGTACTTCCGCGTCCGCCGCGCCCCCTACAAGGAATCCACCGGCTGGGGCGGCCAGCACCTGGCCAACGCCGCCAAGTACTCGACCGCATTCCCCGTCATCATCCTGAGCGCCATCCAGCGCAGCCTGCCTGCCGACCAGCCCAGGCCGGGCCTCAACCGCGCCTGGCTCGCCGCCGTCCTGCTCAACTCGCTCTACTCGTTCTACTGGGACGTCACCAAGGATTGGGACCTCACCCTCTTCGCCCCGGCCCGCGAGCGCAGCGCCCCAGACCACCCCTTTGGCCTGCGGCGCCGCCTGCTCTTCTATCCCCCGCTCGTCTACTATCTTGTCATGGGCCTCGACCTCATGCTGCGGTGCACCTGGGCCCTCAAGCTGAGCCCCCACCTTGATCGCTTGACGGATTTTGAAAGCTCCATCTTCCTCATTCAGTTCCTCGAGGTCTTCCGCCGCTGGGTGTGGATCTTCTTCCGCGTCGAGACGGAGTGGATCAGGAATTCGCCGACCGGCCTTGGCGTGGATGACATCCTGCTCGGCGACTACCAGGGTAAGTATGACTCGGAAGACGACGACGAGGGCTTTATGAACTAGAACCATTGCCCCTTTCCCCCCCTTTTTTTTTTTTTTTTAACTTCCATCTGGCGGTGCGTAATGACCAATGTATCACTAGGGAGTTTGGATAGACGGCGGTGATTGTTTGGATAGGATTTAGAGGCTGCCACGCGATTATTCTGGCATATAGTCTGCATGCGGGTGGTATGCATTCGCAAGGCCCAAGGGGCTGGTACAACAACCATGTGCACAATTTAAAATCAGATCATCCAAGCAGAAGTGCATTACTTCCAGCTACTCCAAGGCAGCCATGATGATCTCCCCGGTGTTGTTGGGGCCTTGAGTTGCTCCAGACACATAGATTGAAAGTTGCGCACCATCATCTTGTCGCCGCAGTCACATCGACACCCGATGCCGCCTTCTCTCTCCACGGTCCCCTTCATGCCGTCCAGCGTTTCCGAAGACAATAGCTGTCCTCCAGGCGCATTATCAGGGCATTGGTAGAACTGTCCATGGCGGTATCCGATGTCCTCAAAGTGGTGCACCTGTGAAGGTTCAAGCAGCATCGCCACTCCGAGGGAGTGAATAGGCGCATCCCCCCACTGCCAATCGTCAGCCAGAAACACTTTGCCAATTCTTCCGCCGGCAACTTTCCCAGCAACTTTCCCCCCCAGACGACGGACTTGTTCCGACGGCAGACACATCACAGGCGGCGGAAACGTACCCTCTCAAAAAAGAACCCCCCCCGCCTCATCCATCGCCGCAAAATAGTCCTGATACCGCCGGCCTCTGAAGAAGTCCATGTCCCCAATCTCAAAGTTGCTCCAGTAGTGGCACCCGCTCCACGAGTCCCCGCGCCGGTCCGTGTTGTCGAGGAACAGGCCCAGCCATCCCCTCAGCGGCCACGGCAGCACGGCCGCGTTGACGGTAGCCCGCCACAGCCCCAGCGTCGGCAGGCCCTTGGCCTCCTTGTAGGCGCTCGTGCGCGCGAACAGCGACGGCACCGTGTTGAGCAGTTCCCGGAGGGCAATGGTGTAGCCGTAGACCTTGCCGGTGCGGGCCATCTCGGCGAACGGGTCGTAGGTCAGGGCGCAGTAAAAGTCCGTGTCCGGGTCGAGGCGCCAGTACCAGCGGTACGGCTGCATGACGTCGAGGTTGTAGAGCTGGCTGTGTTTGTTGGCATTCTCATCAGCGAGTTCCTGTGCAGAGATGCATGGGAGCAAAGGGGACGAAGGGCAGCGCAAGGGACGGCGTCTCGAAACTGGACCCCCCAAGTTGAGAGTGTCGATGGCAGAGATGAAGGATAAGAGAGAAACGTACCCCGAATAGAAGCGGCACATGCGGTGATACCCCTCCTCCCCGCCGTGAAAGACGTTCTTCTCCTCCTGTTCTTTGATCGCTGCGCGCGCCGCGTCGGCGTCCATGCCCTCGGGAAACCCCCATACTTCGGGCGGGATGACTTCGAAGCTGACGTTGGCGGCCGTGGACCCCCGTATGGCGTCAATGAATTCTTGCTCCCACTCTTCGTCGTTGAAGAAGATGATTGGATACGTGTACCACCGATTGAAGTGCTGCTCGAGGGATACGATGGTATGCCGCGCCTGCTCGCGCTCCGAGTTCCGCGCCATCATCACGAACACGGCATCTTCGCGCGGGGCGGATAGGTCGGGCTCGCGGCAAGAGGTTGCGAAGGGGGCATCAAGGGGGGCCGAGGGACGGTGGACGAAAAAGGAACGACGGTGAAGATAGGATTCCGTAATGGCGAGGAGGAACAGGGAAAGCATGAATCGGAGTGGGAGTCGGCGGAGGAGGCGGCGGGCGTGGCGGTTGTAAGTCCTGAAGACGGTCATAGCCAGAGGCAATGGGCCGGAGGACCACTTTTCCAGAAAACTACGTAGAAGCGTTGTCAACAAAAGCATACAAGGTACAAGTCGCCGTAACAATCACTCGATAGTTGATGGCCAGTGTCAGAGAGCTTTGGGGTGAGCAGAGTGAAGCGGTCTCACGCAGGAACAGCCGCGGTCGATTGTCAGGTAGGGGGTCGTGATACATCTGAATTCTGGCCCGGCGCAACCCCTATATACGCACTCTCGTAGCCCCAGTCCCTAGCCAACCCACCTCATCCCATACCTGTATATGTGCCTCCTTATATAACGCCTCACTAGCTCGAAGTAAGAGTCTGTGACGGTGAGACGATAGACGTTCCTTTCGGGGCAACTTTCTCGGTGGACACTGACTCTTAAAACCCTCCGGAGCAAACGTTAATTCTGGCGAGACCGCGCACCAAGGATATTTAGTTTGATGACCTCGATATCACGTACTCGGAGTCTGAAAGTAGAAAACTCGGTTCTCTTCTCTTCAGTTGTCCCAAACCATAGGCCAAGTTAGTGAGTTGGGTGCGTGCAGCAAAAGGCATGATATGACGGATCAAAGAGACATGGGATTGGGCGCTCCCAGCAAATCAGACCTCCTACCGGCATGCTCCGCGCGCGCACACCCGTTGTATTATTGAGGCCATGATGATTAGTAATAGATAAAAAAAAACTGGAATACACGGAATGGCTGTCGACTTGACAAGGTAGTAGACAGGGTAAAGGTGAGCTATGACGCGACGACAGGTCCAGCCTCGATGATTGCAACTTACCATGTTCCCTTGTGATATGACGAAGATTGCCAGCCCATATCTCTTACCAGATGTACGACGAGTTTCTACTGGTAACACACGAAAGTAATCCCGCAATGTAGTGGACGACAACATGACGTACAGGTGAGAGTGATACCTAGCTGACACATAGCAAATCCCAGATACAGCTATATGTTCACAGCACAATGGGCTGTGGCCAAGCTGGGTATTTGGCTGCCTGGCTCCTTCCGTTCCACTTTCTCCTAAAGTGTTGCCTCCATGGAGAAGATTGAATCCCAGTTGTTGTCCACAAAGATTGAGATTAAGCAGGAAGCCCTAGGATCTGATGGAGAACTGGGTCTACCAGAACCATTTTGCATTGGCAACAAAGACTAGCGTGTAAGTCAAAGAGCGTACATGGAATAATGGTGAGATCGGCATGTGGTGTTATGTATGAGCGCAACATTCGTTTGAGATTAAAACAAACCAGGCCCAGGAAATTCTTAGAAGATGAAATGCAAGAATAGCTTTGCGAAAGAGGTTGAGCGCGAAAAGCAATGTGAGACGCTTGCATTTATAGATCACGGCAATATATGGCTGTTCTTGTATGGGTTGAGACGCCCGAGGTAGAAGCCGAGACAACAGTTTCTGCCAAAGAATTCGTGTAGCTCAATGACACAAGTTACTTTAGAAATTGTAGAGGTTTATTGCCTAAATGAACATAATTGTCTGTCAACACAAATACCTAATACCTGCAACGGCCGAGGAAGCGAATGCAATGCGGTCATTGACGTTTGCAGTGGGGGGGATCTGCTCCCAGACAATTGGGCCGTGCTTGCGCTCTTCATTACATAATCGAAGAACCAGTCACGTGCCGTGGCTGGTGTCACCTAGAGCATCATCCTAACCAATCAGAAGCTGCCCCTGGATCCCCCAGCCCCGTCATTTTGGCATGTCCCGGGATGGTTCGTTGATGAAGCGACCGACTCTTTGCTCACCCCCCCAACGCCCCTCCCCTCCTGCTCATTCTTTCCTGGCTATCCCTCCGACACCCTAGCATCGCGCGACGACTCACTTGCTCAACATCACCATCGCTTTTGTCGCAACATCACTACGCGCCACAGGCGAAAAATACTGGCTGCGAAGAGATTGTGCGCACCCATTGTTACGCGCCTCGAACAAGACTGTCTTCGATAGACCGATTCACCCGAAGAAGACGCGCGCGCCATTAGTCTCCAAACCTCCACAATAACGCGCTTCACTGTTTACACCTTCCGCCACCCACGACTCGGCACATCGCGTCCTCACCCGCATCGACTTCAACTCATCGACGTCCACCTTGGGCGCGTCTGACCTTTCTTGCACGTATACTCAGCTGCATTGCTTGCTTTGCATCTGGCTTGCGTCGCGTCCCATAGTTTCACCCTCGCCGCTCAAGGCCCCATCAGACGTTCGCTGCTGCCATGTTCTACTCAGAAGCTTTGCTGCAGAAGAGCGGTCCGCTCGCTCGAGTATGGCTGTCGGCCAATCTCGAGAAGCGCCTCTCCAAGACACACATCCTTCAATCTAACCTCCAGGACAGTGTTGAGGCCATCATCATGCCGTCGCAGGCACCCATGGCTCTCCGCCTCAGTGGTCAGCTTTTGCTCGGTGTCGTCAGGATCTACAGCCGGAAAGCCCGGTACCTCCTCGACGACTGCAATGAAGCTTCTATGAAGATCAAAATGGTATGTGTTCACGATCGCGTTTTGGACGCGTCACGTTGACTAACTCGCGCAGGCATTCCGCTCCAGCGACAACCACGACATTCCAGAGGGCACCTTGCACATCACCAACCGCGAAGCGCTGATGCTTCCCGATAAAATCACGCCTCACGACAACCTCGAGCTGCCGCCTGCACCTGACGCCACCTGGCTGCTCTCGCAACTCGGCGACGATGTGATCGCGCAGCCCATGGGCCGCAAGGGACGCGCCAGCAACCGCGACATCAACTTGCAGGAGGATTTCAACAACAGCCAATTCCTCCAAGACTCCACGCCAATGGACATCGACCTAGTCATGGGCGATGGCGACATGATCGAGCTGGACCTTGACTTTGGCGATGGCGACGACGACCTCACTAGGATAGAGAACACCATTGAAATGGGCCGTGACGCGCCAGATGCGCGACCAGCAGAGGACGACGTATTCAGCGAGCTGGATGTGACCGCCCGTCAAAAGGACCTACCGGGCCGCGAGGAGTCGCTGGCCCTCGACTTCGGTGATGGAGAGCCACGTATTGCCGACAATGACGGTGACATTACCATGGGCATGGACGATGCCGACTTCCACTTCAACGATGTCGATCACTCTGAGCTTCCCGCTCCTTTGGCTCAACCAGACATCAATCGTGCGCGCATCTCTGAGTCGCCCCTCTCCGACATTGACGAGGACATCACCGCGAGACTGAACGAGGAAGTTTCTCAATGGCAGAACGCGGACCTCTACGAGCCGACCGAAGAACAAGACCAGTCTCTAGTGCGTCACACGCAGAGGGCGAGGAAGAGAAAGGTGCTCGTTCCAGACGACCAGACCATGCTGTCCAGCAATGCCATCAAGGAACAGCAGGCGAATCGCGATAACATCCTGAAGCCCCAGTCCTTCCTGCCAAGGGATCCCTTCGTTCTGGCCTTGGTTGATATGCAAAAGAGCGGCGGATTCGTCTCCAATATCTTGCTCGACGGTCGCAGTGCGGCCTGGGCTCCTGAACTGCGGGGCCTGCTGTCTTTCGGACCTGGACGCGCGCCAGAGCTCAAGAGGAAACGCGACAGCGGGATTGCTGATATGGAGAGCGACAATGACAACGCTGCATCCAAGTCTCCACGCCTGGAAATCGGCGAGGACGACGACTTTGCTGTTGGCGATGCTGGCCTCAATAGATCTAGCATCGTGGCCGATGACGGCACGGTACTCGAGATCGCTGCTGATGACGACGACATGGGCTTCCAGATGGGTGACGATGACGGCCAGACCGGCGAGATCGAGGGTAACACGATACCCGCTTTCGACGACACGGTCGCCCCCATCGTCCACCCTCAGGACAGCGGGCCTGTGTCGCTCGGCACCAAGCATGCCGTACACATTCTTCGCGACCTCTTCGGCGCCGACGCCGAGAACGACGACGAGAAGCGCAGCAAGACGTCCGTTGTCTTCCAGGATCTCCTCCCCGAGAAGCGGACCACCAAAGCCGACGCGACCAAGATGTTCTTCGAGTGCCTCGTGCTTGCAACGAAGGATGCCATCAAGGTCGAGCAGGGTGATGCCCTCGGCGCTCCCATCCGTGTCCGCGGCAAGCGTGGCCTCTGGGGCGCGTGGGCTGAGCGCGAGGCTGGCGGCGAGATCGCCGAGGAGGAGCAAGTTGCCGACGAGGCTGAGCAGCGTGAGCCATCACCAGCCGCCGTCAGCGCACAGGCCGTTGCCGTTGGTGCGTGAACGAGCAAGGCGAGTGCTGGCTGGCTGGCCTGGGAGTAATGTGCATCATGACGGACGCGCGAAAAGATGACGACTCTTTTTTTATTTCTTTGGCGCGCGGATCCTCATCATGCCTGGACTTGTATTACTACTCGGACCGTTTTTACTCGGCTCAGGCTCTGAGGCCTGGACGATGCGGCGTTGGAGGCGTTATTCCCGTCGAGAAGGGACTTTTTCGATACCACGGCACGGGACGACTGATTGATTGCGAAGGATGTCAAGAGGACGGCTGTCAGGCGAACGGGGTGAGCTGGGGAGAGATGAAAAGCATGGCCTGCAGGTGGGAGCCTGTTCGAGCGGCATCGTTTCTCTGTGCTGTCTGAGCGAGGCTTTTGGATGGGGGTTTGTTGGATTTATCGAAGGCATGGACGGTAGGATACTTCTTGTAGCCGTGCGGTTAATACAGGATGTTAGCGTAACGCGATTGACCATGTTGTGATGTTGCAATCTGAGGTCGCGCTGCTCGGGGTTGAGCGAGATGAGCACAGTCTCTGGCAGCTGCATCGAAGGGTTGCCAGCTGAGACAACGACAACAAATAGCTTCAATACGTTGTTCGTCATTCTAAACTGTCAAGCTTCGTTGCGGCTTTGCTGACTTGTAGATTGGTGTCATGGAAAGCCTGAAGCGGGATACCTAGTTTGTCTCAGCCTGTGTAAGGTATATGAAGAAGAACTCCAGGCATTGGCATGCGTAGAAACGTACGGCTGTGTCTACTTGGCATGCTTCCAACCCGGAGCCGACAAGCACCAAGCACGGTGTCTCTATTAATCGCAAACACCACGACTCCACGAGCCAGCAGTCAGCCAAGAAAGACCCTTGGACATCTGACATCATCCGCTGTGGGTTGCGTAGACGCGCCCCTCCACAGCTTGAGCATCTTCGCATCGGGCCTGTTTCTTGCTTGCCTCGTCATTCTTCCCAGCAATAAATAACCTGCATCCAGATCTGCCCTGTTCATCCAAACGCAAAGCACATAAAGAGCCAACTCTTTCCCGGCGCTATAGTTCTTTCTCGTTTGCTCTTTGTCCCCTTCCGTTCTAGAAAAGCAAACTCCACCTTTGGTTCCTGCATTAGACTCGAACGCCATTTTCCGCCCGCCCGTCAAACCGCTGATCGCGCATCGCTCCGTTGACGACCCCGCATCCACACTTCTGACTTCCACCTGGCACTCGTTCCTCCTGTTTCCGCACCCCCCCAGACGAAAAAAAAAACACCACACGACCCGACGCAGACAGACAGTCCCTGCAACCATGCCCGCCCCTTCGCAGCTCGCCATTGCCACGCAGGCCGTCACCCGCCTCCTGCGCGAGGAGATCTCGTATGAGCAGGAGCTCATCCAGCAGCAGGGCAAGGTCACGACGCTCGATGCCGAGGTGCAGTCTGGTCTGCCAGACGAGGATGGCAACCGCGCGCATATGCTGAAGCAGCTGGTAAGCCTCCCCCTCCCCCTGGATGAACTGCATCCAGCATCAAGGGCCGCCCCTCCCCGGAAAAGGATCAGCCTCAGAGCACAACAAGTCGTCGCTGCTTGCCCCTGGTGGGTGGGAGCGCCGGTGGATTGCATTCACGGCTGACGTCCATGTAGAAACAGGCTGTTGTCGAGACGGAGAACGTCTTCCCCCGCATAAAGGAGCGCATCGGCGACGCGACGATCAAGCTTGAGGAGCAGATTGCGCTGGCGGAGAGCAACGGCACACCTGCTGAGGAGTTGGAGCTTGCGAGGGTGGCGTTGACCAAGGGCCAGGAGGCGCAGAACACGGTTCGCAACGGCATTGCTTAAATAATGGGGGGAGGAAAGCGCGAAAACTTATATTCAGAACATGCATCATGAAATGAGGCGGTCTGTCTACATGGTGGGAAGGGGACGTCAGAAACACGAAGTCTCGTGACGAAGTCAAGTAAAGTCGATTTCGACATGTCCTAGCTGTCGACCTCCATGCTGTCGCCGCCTGGCGCAGCCACCGTGATCTGAGGCGTGTCAGCGCCCGAATTATGGGCATTTGTCTGCCGCGAGTCATCCATCTCGACGTCCTCGCCTTCCTCGATATCATCGTCGCCGGAGTCATCTGCCTGATGACGTGGCGTGCCCGCCTGGCTGGGCGCCAGGCTGCCGCCACGCGACAGACTCCCCAGCCCCTCCGGCCGCGGCTTCAGCCCATGGCCCTCCTCCGCTTGGCTCTCCGGCGCCGGCGTCCTGCCGCCGCTCGTGCCGTTCGGTCTCGGCGTGCCAGCGTCGCCCTCTGGTCTCGGCGTCGTGCCACGACTGCCTCCCGCCCTCGACACCTCGCCGTCCTCCTCGCCATCCTCGTTCATGCCCTCCCTGCGCTCGACCTCCTCCTTCTCGTCGCGAATCTGTCGCCGCAGCCGCATAGCCTCGTCCATGATCCTGGCAAACTGCTCCTTGCGCTCGCCCCACGTGTCGTTGTACGTCTCGCTCTCGCGCTCGAGCCCGGCGCACTCCTCCTCGAGCTTCCGCAGCGCGACGCGCTGGTCGTCCCGCGGCCGCAGCATGCTCTTGTTGGTGATGTCGTCGGCGAGGCGGTCAAACTCCTTGCGCTGGCGCAGCGTGCCGCGCGCTACGTCGAGGCGGGCGCGCAGGGCGGCATTGTTGTCGCGGACGGCCTGGCACTCGTCGAGGATGCGCTGCTGGTCGGCGGCGTAGCGGGCGCGCTCGCGCTCGTTGGCGTCGAGGAGGAACTGCAGGCGCGCGATGCTGCTGTCAAAGGCGGCGAAGTCGAGGGCCAGGTCTTCCCGGAGCAGGGCGCGCTCGCGGTGCAGGGCCCCCGGGTCGGCGGACGCAGAGGCGGCGTTGGCGTCGGGGGGCGGCGTGGGTTGCTGGGCGGCCTTGGCGGCGATAATGGTGGAGATGGCCGCGAGGCGCTTGGTGATGCGCTTGAGTGGCTTCTCCTCGATGTTCAGGAGGCGGGATTTGTGGAGTTCGTTTTCTTCGGCGTCGTTGAGGAGCTCCCAGGACGACATGGCGGCGTTGAGAGAGAAGTGGTGTGCTTCTGGGCTGGTGGTGTTTGCTGGCTGAGGTTTGTTGCGAGGTTATGGGAGCGTGTTGGGCAGGCACGAAATTGGGGCCTGGGGGTCTCGAAAGAAGAAAAGGCCCGGATATCGGGTTTCACGAGAAATTTAGACGGTCTTTGTTGCCACAGTCGTTGAAGAAGCGGACCAGCAAGGAAAAGAGACCGATGATGTGAGGTCGTAATACGGATCGAGCGTAAAACAGTACCAGCGGTTGGCAAGGACAAAAGACAGCTCCTGCACAGCAGCAATTGTTAGCCTTGCAGATGTGCAGCTTGTTGATTGGCCTAAGGAGCAGCGTGGTTGGAGGGAAAGTGGATCCGACTCCCAGCCCACTTCGCGCCGACTTTGAAGTCGCCTCCGTCACTTACTTGTATATGGGCATTCACCCCTCCTCTGTCAACCCAACACTGCAACTTTCCCTCAACACAAACAGCACCCGAAACCCTGACCTCGACGACATTCGGGCCGCAATTTTTTTTGCTGCGAAAAACCATCGAAATCACAGCGAAACCGTTTCAGCAGGCGTTGCAACTCTCGTCCTCCTCCTCAAGCCCCGAATTGCTTTATCCCAACCGCCAGTGTCGCAATATGTCTTCAGAGGAGCAGGAACTTCTAGCCAAGATCAGCAGACTGGCTGGTCAGTTACCCATTCATGAATTTTGCTTCTCCAAACCATCTCACCAATGTCATAGGCAAGATCAACCGCCACAAGAGCCAGCAGTCCGGCGCGCAGTCCCCGGCAGCCCATCAACCAGCTCACAGTTCGCGTTTGTCATCCACGCACCGACGTCGAACGTCCTCTCTAACCACACCAGACAACACCTATCGATCGAGCAGCCATCACTATCATCCTTATCGCGGCGGCCGACATGGCCCTGCCCACCGAAATCGAACTCTGAATAGCGGCAGCCACACGCCGACGGCAGAGGCACAACCAGCTTCCAACGCCGTCATTTCCAACGCTTCAGGCTCGTGGGTCGCGACCACAAATCGGCACAACATGCAGCTTATCAACTCGAACGTGTTTGAGGAAAAGAACCAGAAGCGCACAGAAGCCATCGAGGCCACTCGAAAACAGCATCTCGCGTCCCAGAACGCACGCGAGGCCTCTCAGCTGACGTCTCACCTCCACCAGCGCCATGGGCCCCGTGTCGCGGCTGGTTTCGCTCGTGCTAACCCACAACCTAACCTCGCCAACGCAGGTCAAGACCACGTCGTCGATATTCAAGGCATCAGCTTCCGCGTTACTTGCAACGGCAGCAAGCTCGTCAAACTGGCTGGCACGTCGTCTCGCACCTCACCTCCCCCTCGGACCTACCTACTCACATCTACCAGGCGACCTCCACTCGGCCAGCGCCACACCCAAGGTTGCCGTTGTCGGCGGTGTTCAGTTCCGTCGCAGCAAGAATGGCAACCTGTATCGGCAGGGCGTGATCAAACTCCATCCGTATGTGTGCCCCCCTCGTACTGCATATATGCTAACACATGACAGACATGCGGGCGTGAAAAAGGTCAACGTGCCTTGCCGCATGTTTTCGTCGACTGGTATTTTTAGACTTCTCTTCGGCGCCGCGTGACATCAGGCGCGCGCCCGGCCCCTTTCAAGATCGAGCGCTTCAGCATGGAGGAGTAAACGCTACTAACCGAACGACTCTAGGTTCCTGCCCCAAGGGCCCGACCTGTCGCTACATCCACGACGCGTCCAAGGTGGCGGTGTGCCGCGACTTTCTCCAGAAGGGAAAGTGCGCCAACGGCGAGGATTGCGACCTGTCCCATGATCTGTGCCCGCAGCGCACGCCGACGTGCCTGCACTTCATCAAGGGCAACTGTGCGAACCATGAGTGTCCATATGCCCACAATAACGTGTCTCCAGGTGCGCTGGTATGCCGGCCGTTTGGCCTCTACGGCTTCTGCGAGGCAGGACAAGAGTGCACCGAGAGGCACGTGTCCGAATGTCCCGATTTCAGCAACACGGGAGTGTGCAAGACCAAGGGCTGCAAGCTGCTGCACCGCGAGAGGGCAAGCGTCCTGCGGAAGGCGGGCGAGCAGCAGGAAGACGCCGACATGTCGAGCGACGACGACGTGGCCGACAGCGACGATGTCGACTCGGACGAGGTCGACGAGTTTCTCGGTGGCGACGGCGAGGTCGATGACGCGGAGGTCAAGGCGCAGAGCGACTTTATCTCCTTTTGATTGTGATGCTCGTTTGCACCCCTTGATGCGTTGCTGCTGCTGCTGCAGCTGCTGCTGTCGACACGACGTGTGTCGGCGGCGTGGATTCGTTAGGATACCTTAGGATAGGATGACGGTGACGATATGAAGATACCCTGCACACGGACGATGAAGAGCAAGAAAGTGGACGACAAGAAAAAGAAAAAGAAAAAAAAAAGGCGAAGACGATGAAGAGTAAACACGCATGATAATTACTATTGTTTATGGGAGATGCGGTTGATATTGTCGTGATGTGCCTCTTTGATTTGGATACCATTACCCAGGGTGCCTACCATCAGTAAAGTACCTACCTCCCTACCTAAGGTGCCTAGGTAGGTACCGTAGCCCTAGATGACACTCCAAAGGCTGAGGATTTACTACCCAAGTCCCATGCAACATGACCTAGCATCGACAGAGCGGGGACATCCCTCATGGCACCACTTGTTTCCAAATTACCATGGCTGATCACTATACATTTTTGCATCTCTAGACAAACTCAATCGACACGTTCACTGCAACAGTCTTCCGACAAGGCGCCATGACGAACGAAGAAGGGGGGGCGGCGCAGTGACGATCCTGCCTAGCTCAGCCCCGCCACCAGGCGATGAACAGACGACGACCCCTATAGGGATATTGGAGCCGCCGCCTACAGGGCGCCCCGGGCGTTTACAACGCGCGTACACACGCCTTGCAAGGTCTTTTTCGGGGTCCCCCTCGTTCAGCACGGCACGTCGGCCCCCAAGGATCAGCCCCGCCATGAAGCCTCGCGGCGTCAGCCATCTGATCTGATCCGACTATGGCTGCGTCCCAGTCGGCTGCGTTGAGCATTGTTCGTCTGTCGAGATAGATTTCAGACGAGGATTGAGACAAACGCCGTTTCTCTGACGGCACAACCCCAGCGACGACCGCTTCCTCAACGCCATCGACGCCTCACCCGACACAACCTGCGATATCGCGAACCACAGGCAACGGCAGACGACCCCTCGCCCTTCCCACCATGGGACTCCGCGACTTCCTCCGCAAGAAGGATGGCGAAGGCCACGCCGACGAAAGCAATCACGAACACCATGACAGCCAGCCTGACGCCTCCCACACCTCTCCCCCGCCGACGGGCGCGCCCGAGTTCAAGTTTGTCCGCTCGGAATCCAAAGACGATATCCCCGCGGCGACTGCGACGTCCCAGCTGTCGCCGACCTCGAACAGCAACAACAACAACAACAACACCCTCCTCCACGCCGCCGACCCTATCCCTCAGCGCAACCGCCTGAGCCTCGACGTCTTCTCGTCGTCTCGGTCCCGCAGCGGCTCCGTCTCGTCCCAGGCGAGCAACGGCCCCGAGAAGGCCCGCCGCCGCATCTCTGAGCGCCTCCACCTCAGCCGCGCCCCCTCAAGCTCCGAACACGTACCCCAAGATCTCCCCGCCATCGTCGCCTCCGACTCGGCCGAGGACCAGTGGGAGCGCCGTGCCACCATGCTCGCGAACATGACGGAGCGCGCGCGCAGCAACTCGCGCCCGCCGACGCCGCCCTCGTCAGGCCAGCACGCGGTCCCGCCGACAGCAACAGCGCAGAGGGCAGTCTCGTCCTCCTCCGCCCCGGCGGCCACGCCCCCCCTGGTCCGCAAGGGCCCGGTCTCGTCCAAGGACGTCGACGAGGGCATCCAGGAGGCCATCCGGCTGCACGAAGAGGGCCACCTCGCCAAGTCGACGGCCATGTTCGCCTGGCTCGCCGACCCCAAGGGCGCCAACAACCCGCTGAGCCAGGTGCTCTACGGCCTCGCCCTGCGCCACGGCTGGGGCTGCGAGCCCGACGTCGAGCGCGGCGTCACCTACCTCACGGCCGCCGCGAGCAACGCCGCTACCGTCGAGCAGCTCGCGCTCCAGGCCGGCCTGAAGAAGGGCGGCGCCTACAAGGGGGAGCTCGTGCTCGCCATTTTCGAGCTCGGCAACTCGTTCCGCCACGGCTGGGGGACGGCCAAGGACCCCGTGGCTGCGAAGCAGGTGTGTTACTTCCTCTCTGCGTGCGCCATGCGCGACGGAAGCATGGACAGAGTCATGGACAGTGTCGTAGGTGGGAGCAATGTGCTGACATGGAATGCGGCAGTACTACGAGACGGCTGCGAATCTGGGAGATACCGGTGAGTTCTGCTGCCACCCCTATTGCCCCTTTCCTACGGCCCGTTGAAGCCCATGCTTCCTCGTTGAAGCCCATGCTTCCTCGTTGAAGCCCGACCAAGAACGACATGACCTGACAGCTCCGCTTCGGTAGACGCCATGAACGAGGCGGCCTGGTGCTACCTCGAAGGCTTCGGCTGCAAGAAAGACAAGGTACGTCACACGGCACGTTCTATTATTCACCCCATCGGAGCACCTGCTGCGCGCTCGTCATGTCATCTGCTGCGCCCGTCATCGTTAGGCCTGTCAGGCCCAGACTCCAGCCTCACTTGGTCGCTGGTCCAGAGGGATGTGGCTTAACGCAGGGTCAGACGAGGTTGCAGCATCCGTCAAACGCTTCCTCTGCCCCCCTTCCAACCCCAGACCTTGGCTGCAGAGTGGCCCGGCATTCCCACGTTGGGCATCAATGGGACGGCCGCAGCAGAGGAGAACCCCCCGTCGAGGAACGAACTTCAGCTTGGAGCTCCCAGGCCGAGATGCAACGTCTCGTCACATGAGGCTGACGACATGCCCAGTTTGCAGCAGCGCGCTACTACCGACTGGCTGAGAAGAATGGCAACAAGATCATGGGCAACTCATGGTGCGTACTTCCACCCCCCTCGCCCCCCCTGCTTTTTTCCCATTCTTCTCGTTATTGCCCGCACCCCTCCTGTCTCCCCTTAATGCTTGCCCGCCTTCTGTATGGTCCCTCTTGTCCTCTTTCCCTCTTGCGTGTTCCCTCGAACCACCTATGACATCGCTCGCACCATTGTGCGCGCGTTCGTCGCAGATGACAGGCGGGCCGTGACCTCCATTGGCCCTCGTCATCTCGGCCCCCAAAGCCCCCCCCCCCTTCCATCCTCGAGACGCAGTCTTGCGCGCCCTGCCGACACCCGTCGTGCCGGCGTGCTCTTGCCGTCAGCGGGCGTCCGCGGATGAACCCGGCTGGATCGCCGTGTCTGCACAAAGAGAGCCCTCTGCTTGCCCAGCCATTGGCCCTTCCTCTGCGTTGCCTTCATGCTTCATACGTGTACGCCCACTGGTGTCCAGTACGAACAGGTAGCGCTGTCTGTCTGCTTGCCCCCCCCCCATGCCCCCCCTTTTTACGCTTGTATCACGCAGAGACAATGCCAATCATCGCACATCGGCTGACACATTACTTTTTCCCCTGATGTAGGATATGGAAGGAGAAGTACGACCCTCCCGGTCCCGATGACGCCGGCAAAAAGAAGAAGAGGTGAGGTGTGACATGCATCAGCCCGGCAACGCGCCATTCTACCTTTCTTTTCCTTTGAGGCCCCGGTTGCGGCACGCGGAGATGGGGGGGGGCGGGGGATGGGGAGCTCGAGTCGGTCAGCCACTCCGCGAAAGGCGGCAGGCATCCGTGTTCCCTACCCGGCACCCGTCGCTCGTCTTTCCCCACCCACCTTCAACCCTTGATACTCGGCGGGCCACCGAGTCCGGCGTGTTCCTCGCACAGCGCCTTGTCACCCGTCGCAGCGGCGGCGGAAGGCGGCGTGGCGTCGTGCACTCGACGCTTCCACGCGGGCCTGGCGATCACTGGGCTGGGGATTGTGCCGGGTGGCGGACAGTTTGCCGGGGGGCCGTTCCGTCGGGGAGAGGGGCGTGTGTTGGGAGAAGGAATGCGTGCTGCTGTGTTCCCGGTTCTTTGCTCGTCTGGTCTGATCTGGTCCTCCCACTCTGCTCCGCTTATTGGAGGAATGAGGAGGCGTAGTCGCACGAAGTTGCGCTGTGGACGTCTCGTCTTGATAACTGGCGTTGGAAAAGATTGAAGGGGGGTGAAGAAAGCTGGGAAAAGGGGGCCGGGGTTCCTCATTCTCCCCATGGCGTTGGAGGGAAAGCGATGTTTGTTTTTGCCATGCAGCCAGGTATTTCGAGTATACCTCCTGGAATACCTCACGTTGCGGCGGCTCTTGTCCTTGTGATGCCTCTATCTAGTTCTATGCGGCCCCCCTTGCGGCGTGTGCTGATCGTGCCTGTGAGAGAGGCTCTTACTCACTCGGCACGAAGGCTTGACTGTGGCATTGTGGCCTCATCGCGGACTACAGTCAGCTTCGGGCTTGGCTGTCGTTGGGGGCTCCCGCGTGTGGTTGACATGTGCTCTTGCGGATGCAGGTCCCTCTCGATGGGTGTTTGGTGACGGCCGAAGCTCGTCATGGTGATGGCATCATGGTGTAAAGGACCGACGCCTTTTTTTGCCGACCAACCCTGCCTTTTGTGGTTGAAGATGGTAGACGCATGTGATGGATGTAGTACCTTGGGGTGAGTGCATCGAGGCTGGTTCCTGGCGAAGAGCATGGACACGTCTTGCCGGACTAGACGGTTCGATGTTGGGTCGGCATTGACCCTATTGAACCTGGGTATTGCATGCAGCACCCTGAAGTTCCAAGAGTTCATGTGTTTTTGCAGACAAAGACATGGATGAAGTGGGAAGTAAGCATCATGCGAACGTAAGAGAGGCCTCTAGGAGCTCCGCGCACCCTCTACTGCCCGCAAAGATGGTGGTCAATTGTCGGCACGAGGGAGAACACGACGGTTTCGGGTCGCAAAAGCCTGCCCAGGCCTGGAAAGCCTGAGAAGCCTGGTATAGTCTTCTTCCATCTGTGAAGAATTTACGGATGTCGATGCCTCTCGTTGTGAAGTACTCATGGTCTCAAGAGAGGCCGATCTCGAGGAATGGATAAAAGCCCCTCGCATGTACGGAGCCAGCTTCGGCGGCGTCAGTCGCCAGACGATGCACCCCCAGAAGTCTAGACCCGACTGTGGACGCGAAACTCGGCCCTCAAAGAGCGGAACGATGAATCCGTTCCTCGATACCAAGTTCTCACTCAAAACTCGACACGAAGCTCTCTCCACGCCTCGACACGAAGCTTCCAGACGCACCACTACGCCGAACGATCACGGCAAGCCCGCGCAACGGCCAGATGCACACCCCAGACGTGCCCGAACAAAGAACCGAACAATGCACATGCGCCCCAACCCCACTCCCACCGCAGGCGCCAGAACGCAGCTGGGTGCAGCACAAAGCCATTGTCTCGTCGAGTCGAGTGGCACAGCGAACCCCATCCACTAACGACCGCGAAAGGGTCCCCCTACTAGATTCTGCCCAACGTGTCTCACACGCACACATTATACGCACACTAGCAAAAGCCAAGTGAGACAAGGAGCAGAGCAGCAAAGCACACGAGATCGCATCACGTCAACAACAGACTGTCTGCCCGTCCGCCCGCCCGCCCGTCGGGAAGAGGGTACGACGAAAAGGGCCGCGCCATGCAACGGTGAGGGCAGAGACTCAGACACAGCTATGGTCTGAGACATGAGAGGAAAAAACGAGACATGTGGTCCACTGTCTCGCCTCTCCAGGGTCCTGTAGGCATCTACACACGGTCTTCACTGGCGTGATGAGGCATGTCCAGTGCGTCAGCCGCTTGGAGGAAGGAGGGGGGGGGGGGGGAGTTGGATGGAGGGGCGCTAAAAACAAACTCGGGACAACAACCAACACCAAGCGCGCGGTCATCAATCACAGCCACACACACACAAGGAGGATCTCTCCCTATAGCAAGAAAGCAAGCCTCAGATATAGATGGCTGAGGCGCCCGGGAAAAGTACACACAACACATCGCATCTCCCCCTTCCTCAGCACGGAACGTGGAGAGACAGAGAACGGAAGGTCATTCATACCCGTCTGCAGGTTACAAGCCCCCCCCTCCCCAAGATCAGAAGGTCGCGAACGTTCCTCCCGCTGCTTGGGGGGGGGGGCATCAGCTCCAGCGCGCTACTGCACGCTGGTTCTTCCCACTTGACCTCGTCCCGCGCCAGCGACTGGCCCGTCCCGACCGTGGGGGAGGAGAGGGGGGGACGCAAGATGCTGCCCGCCCTGCTTCGGGGGCAACCCACTCACAAGGACCTGCGAACCGAAATGTTGGATTCCTCCCACCGCATAGGTTGATCCTCCCTTTCCCCCCTTGTCCCACGACGGGCGGGTGCGTGTGGGTGAGTGGACTCAGGTGGACGGGGAAGAGTGCGCTGCTGCCTCTACTTTTTGTGCGTGGCGGCGGTCTGCCTACGCGAGCAAAACAAGATGGTGAGCAGGAAAATGGCCCTCGTGGGTGAGATGGCGCAGGGGCGGTGGCAGCATCGGCGCATCTGGCACAGCGAGTCCACTTGGCCGCCGCAGGGCGCGATCACGGGGTGAGAAAGGGCGATCTCGATGCGTATGAGGCGAGAGGACCAGAGGCAGGTTTGCCAGACTGGCCATGGCACAACGATGCGCGAGTGGTACACACACACACACACACACACACAGACATCACAAACATCAAAAGAACGGCTGGTACCAAGACCCGGTGCCAGAGACGATCATCGCTGACTTTGATCAACGGCAGCAAACCGTACTTGTAGGTCACAGAAGAGGAGCAGCTTGCTGTACGTAGTACCGTCCACAGGTGGACATCGTGATAGTCATTCATCAATAAAATCCGTCTCTCGTGTGCACCCATCACATCATCATCCGAGGAGTTCCAGATCCCAGTATTCCGGCCCATCCCATCCCATCTCTCCGCCCCCATGCCTGTAATGTCCCGTCTCGCCAATTTGCGAATGCCCAGAGTCCCATGCCATCCATCCGTCCCGTCCACCCAACCGTCCTGTTCTCCGTATGTTCAATCCTGTCGTGTCCATGAGATCCACGTCCCTGAGACCAGCTCTCAGCCTCTCCGTGATCGCTTCCCAGCATGCCACCGACCGATCCAACAGTGTACAAGAAATAAGGAAAATCCGAGGTGACAAAGGGAAAATGGGGCGTCACCCGTGGTGGGGGCTTGCCAGTCCTGGTCTCCGCCCGCCTCTTGCTCCGCCCGAGCAGTAGATACCAGACTTGATATATGAAACAAATCAAAGGTAACCAAGGACTCAAAAATCAGAATGCTCGCTCGCTCGCTTCATAGCTAGGGACACAAAATAAGGGGATAAAAAGGGGGGGTTGGTGTGAAGAAGAAGTGCGAAGAAGGCTGGCATCATGCCAGAAGAAGAGGGACAGCAAGCATAAGGCTTGGTCCCAAGGTAAGAAAGTTCATTTGATGCGTGAGCAACAGTATCTGGGTTGCGCGGGAGCGGCGTTGATTGTATCGTCGATTCAGTCGGGATAGGCGCAATGGAGGCAAGGGAAATCATCATCATCGTCGTTAGGAGAAAAAAAACAGACTCATTAGACGCGTCGTCGTCATTAGGCCGGAGGGTCGTCATCGGCCAGTCGTTTCTCCGTTTTAGCTCCTAAGTCATCAAGGGCCGTTGGATTCATCGGGCAATCGCGTCCATGCATTGCTGCCGTTCGTTCTGCTGAGCGTTGTTGCACTCAGCCACCATTTTCGCAAAGTTCTTGACCACCTCCGTAGGGATCTGGTCCCAGAGGAGAGATCGGGTGTACACCTCGGCCATTGATTGTTTGTTGTTGTTGCGCATCGAGGAGAGGGCCTCAGCCAGGTTGCGGCGGCCTTGACTCGTGGAGCGCTCGGGCACGTTGTGCATAAAGTCCTGCGAGTGAACGCCGTTGTACTGGGCTGCCGACATCGAGAAGATTTGCTCGTTGTTCTGCTCCTCGTTGGGCTGGGTTAGGGTGTCGCCAAGCTGGCCGAGCATCGAGGGCGCCATGCCGTCAAGGCCAGAACCAGCCATGCCCATGGCCGGGTCGTTGACCCAGTTGGCACCCGAAGGCTGAGGAGCGCCGGCATGAATCGTGTTGGTAGACTCATCAAGCCCGGCATCCTTGAAGACATTCTCAAGAAGCGTGGCTGCCTCGGCCCGGACATCATCGGACACGCGAGGGATGCTGGGCGCGGACCGGTTTGAGAGGACGAACGCACCGACAAGGAAGAGCATGAAGAGGATACCACCCTGAGACGACTGCTTCTCAGTCTCGGCGGGGAAGTTGATCTCGGACTTCTTGGGCGGTGGTGCCATCTGGAGCTCTTGCTTGACCTCAGGCTCGACAGTGTAGTCGCCGAGGAAACCGACATTGTCCCAAGGACCAGGCATGGACAAGCCATCCATGTCGTCGTAGCCCGTAGAGAACCCCTGGGGGCCAGGGACGGACGACGACATGGCGGCACTCTCGAGCCTCTGCACGTGGTCGGTGAGGACGCTGACCTTTTTGCGAAGCTCGCCCGTCTCGATGGTGTGGGACCGGATCATCTCCTCCTTCTCCATGCGGAGTGACTCGATGTACTCTTGGTAAGACTGCTTCTCCCGTAGAAGAAGTTCCATCTTGGCCTTCAGGTCCACAATCTCCTCCTCCATATCTGTGAGGATGGTGGTGTACTGCTTCTTCTCGTCTTCCAGACGCTCCGTGTGCTGCTTCTTCCGCTGGCGGGAATCAAGGCTAGCGTGGCACGTTAGTAGGTGACTATAGGTGGAGGGAAGGGTGTCAACATACGCTGCTTGGCGATTGCGCAACAGACGTTTCTGCTGTTTCAGCTCCTTGATTTCCTGCTCGTCGGTCGACTGCGCGATGAGCTGATCAATATTATTGAGATTACGCTCAGCTGGAATGTCGAAACGAGCATTCTTTTTCCTGATGCCGTCGCCCCTGCGCAGTTCGTTGTGAGAGCGGATGCCAGGGCTGCCCGTCCGCATCTTCTTGGCCATGGACTCGTTCTGGCCAATCCAACCCTTCTGGGGTGAGGTTGGGATGGACTGGTTGCCTGAGCCGATGGAAGAAAACATGTTGATTTGGCCGGTGGGGTTGCTGAACGGCGTCTGGCCCTGCATAGAGCGATGGAAGACGGATGTATTGTCGTAATCAGTGGGCATGCCGTCGAACTGCTGAAGAGGTGTGCAGGAGCCGGATGCGTTTCCGAGAGACCAGGTGTTGCCATGGGGGGCAAACGGCGAAGGTTGAGGGTGCTCAACACGCATGAAGGGGTTGTTGCCGTTCTGTGGATCGATGAAGGGGTTGTTGGAAGGCACAGATTGCATGTCAACGGGCTGCCAGTCTTCCGTCTTGGGCGAGAAGAGTGAGGAGCCTACGGCGAAGGACTCGCGGCGACTATTAGCCATCGGCGGGGACATTTCGAGACCGGAATCAAGGCCGCTGTTATCGAGGATGTTTTCGTCTAAGATGCTGTGGTCCTCTTCCTCAAAGTACTTCTGGGCATGATTTGTGTCGACAGTCAAGGGCGTAGGTCTGTAGTACGTCTGCATGGGGAAGGCTGATACCATTGCAGGTCACTGTTGGTGTATGCGCTGCGGCGTGAACGGCGGCGCAGCGAGTGAATATTTGTGTTGTGGGTGAGATGTGAAAGTAACCCTCTGTTCATGAATTGTGTTAGTCGGCTATGGCGGTGAGGGTGGATTCGCAGCAAGATTGAAAAGCGTCTCCAGGGGGGGTTGGTCGGTTTATTTTGGGAGGTGAGTGAGATGCAGCGGGGGGCGGGTCCACTGCGAGGTGAACGAGGGGATTGTAGGATGGAGGATCGGCTCCCGGGGAGGCGCGCGCTCACTCTTCCGACTTTGGCAACAGGGCAAAGCAACACATAAAGCCAGCGCAGAGGGTGTTGCTGCAAAGATCAAAAGAGGGATTGGGGTGAGGCGTTTGGGACAGTGATTGATACCGATGCCGTGAGAAGCAGTGTGAAGGTGGTAGTGGAGGAGCGGGGATGATGAAATGGGACGGGGAGCGGGTTGAGCGGGAGCAGTGGAAAACCGGAAAGATTTAAAGGCCGTGGTGCGTTGAACGGTGGGAGGTAGACTTACGGGTGGAGGGGGCTTTGCGTGGTACAACTCTGTTGGTGTCGCGCTTGAGTTCGAATTCTTGTGCTGTGATGCCAAACACAAGAGAGGAAGACTGTGGGAGGACCGAGTCTAGATGAGACGAGGCGAAGATTTCGGCCGCAAAGAGGAGGGCAGAAGAGGTGATGGAACAATAATAAACAAGTCAGTCATGTGTTGGTGACTGATGCGTGGTGGCTCCTCGTGAGGTGGAGGAAGCGCGAGCCGAAGGTGGAAAAGGACTGACGTTCAGTCCTGTCCGTTCAGTATGAATGTTAGTGTTGGTGTGATCTGGTGGTAGCATGCCATGGGCCGCGAGAGGGTGGGTGAGGGTAAGGTTTTGTACTGTAGGGGCAAAAGGTGGTAGTCCAGGGTGCGATGGAGAGAGGAAGATACCTCGTGGGTGAGCAAAGACTCACGCACCCACACACCACCCATCCCACCCCCCCAAAGGGCCATGGGCCATGGGCCGGTGCCCGTGGACGAAGACGGATTCTCGTCAGTGGAGGTCAGGTCAGGCTGGCCAAGCCAAGGTCCTTGTCGGCAGTGGGGTACGGGCCCTTGGGCGAACGAGAGAAGGTCCCGGGATGGGCCATGGCCATGGGCCGGTTTGGATCTTGGTGTGGATGGACGACGTTCTTTTGGGGGAGGGTGGGTGCAGGACTGTTGCTCGCGGCACCCCCTCTTCGTCTTGTTCTTCTCTGCTGCCCATCGCATCGCATCGGATCGAACCTGTCTACTTGTGCGTGCATGGCTGTCATGGCTCGTCCAAGCCTTGATATCTTGCATCTTAAACCTGATGCCGAGATCATCATGCCCAGTCAGTCCCGGCGGGGGCGTTGGTAAAGGCATAGATGCTCCGGCGGTCACCTTCAGGGCGAAGAGGAGAAACAAGAGCGACATGCGGTCAGTCGGATTGTTGACAGCCCAGACCAACAGACATCACAGCCTCCGGCTGGCCTTTTCGTGGTGCCTGACGCGGCACTCGTGTCCGTGGGAAGAGTCACTGGGCAACAAGATGGTGATTTCGGCGAATGAGGTCACAGAGGACCGTCATGATGGATCGTTCTCCTGTCCCTGTCTCTGTCGTCTCCTCTGTCTGGGCGTACTCGCGCAACGAACGGGGGGACGGGACGACAGGATCAAAGACAGGGACCATGGCCCCATTGACGGCAACAAGCGAATGGCGAAGGTACCGAAGAACAGGGCTTCAACTCAGGAAGCCTAGGTTGTACTCAGGAGGCATCAGCTCCAGCTCCAGCCCCAGCTCCAGTACAGTCGGTCCAGGGCTCCCGGGGAGAAAATAGAAACGGGCCAAGGCGCTGCTGCCAAGCGGGAGGGGGGGCTGGTCGGGATGGGGATGGGACGAGATCGATCGAAGACGAATGGCAGCGGGTGAGCGATGACGGCGAACAAATGGAAGCTGGAATAGACGTTGGCGAGCCGGGGGGGGGAAGAGACGGTGAAGAGCAAGACTCCGCCCTGACAGCCCTCATTAGGTTTGTTGGTGGGGGAAAAGCAATTGTCCGGCCTGTGTGGGTAGCGAATCACGATTAGGGCCCGTTTAGACAGGGCTCGACCGCTTTCTTCTCTGGGCATAGCGCCATCCTTGAGACTCTTGCTCCTCCACCGTTTGGCTGTCTCTGGCTTTCTGGCCCTCTGGCTCTCCGCCTCTCTTTCTTGCTGCCTACCTACGCAGGTTCCCCTGACGCCCAAAGCGACAGTTCCAGGTTGGGCATCGATGGCCTCTTTCAGCGTTGCTACCTGATGGTGCTCTCTGCCCTGCCCTGCCCTGCCCTGCTGGAACCCAAGCAATAGCACCGCTTGGTCACATCAGCCACTGTCTCTCCTGCCCCCCCGCGCGCCTCGCCATGGGCAATTGCTCATCCCCAGTCGCCAATCCGCTGTTATACTGCCCTGACGGCGCTCCAGGCGTCTGTCCGTCTGGTCTGATGGCGGATGGGTGACCTCACTGGCCAGACGAGGCTTGTGAATCATCCACATGGGGAAGGTCTCAAGATCTGTCTCGTGTTGTTTTGTTTGTGACTGTGATGGGAGAGCGCATACTCTCTCCCACAGCACACGGTCATGATCATGGTCATCGGACGAGGGTCACCACTGGTCTTGGGCACCAAGCAACCTTGCTGACCTTTCTGACACCAGGCCAGGATAGAAATGGCCATACTTAGGGTTCAGGACGCTGAACACAGAGCGCTTCGCGAGGAGGCACAGGCAGCAGGCAGTCGGTTCGGACTTCAGGCGCTGGCGTCGTCTCGACGCCAGTCTTGCTCCCCTGGAGTGGCAGCCACTCCTGTAGTCCTCGTACGCCCCGCTACAGCCACGCTGCGAACAGGCATCATCAGACGCCTTTATTCAACACCGCCAGAAGAATCATACCAGCGTGCAAACGCAAGCCGACAGTTCGATAGCCCCATCGCCAGCTGGGGAGCGACTGGCAACACGCATCGACTCACCTCACCGACAATCGACGGTACCCTTTCGTCCTGTAAAAAGACGGTGGCTGGTCGCTGCCCAACCGGAGAAATCCCCTAAATCTGCAAGAAGCCCACGGCCACCACTCAACAGCCCGACATCTCCGTCTCCCCTCTCCACTGTGCTTCATGGCCGCATATAGGCCGGCCCATCACCAGCTCTCACCACTCGTGGCCAACTGTCTCGTCTCCGCTGCGCGCCCGAACTCGAGTTTGCTGCTCTCGCGGGTCTCTGTTTTGTTCCCGAACCCGCGAGACGCGATTTGGCCCTGTCTTCCTTCATTTTCATGATCCACGCTTGCTCCGTCATGCCACCAACTGACCCTCGACGCGATACTCGGGTCATGTCGTGCCGCCCAACACGAGGCAGCGCGTTCGTTCGTCCTACCCGCCTCACAGGACGTCACGGACACTATAACAAACCTTAATAGGCCTGCGCCTTGCAAGGTCCCGCCATCTAATGTCGCGGCCGAAATAGAGACAGGTCATTCCTGATTGATCAGCATGCGCCCAGTCTCTGGTTCTGAAGGTACAATACAATGAACCAGCTAACATGGCGTGTCGACACGCTGAAGCTGGTGCGCTCTGCTCTGGCCATCTTTGCTGCACACTCGCTCTTCCTCTTCAAACCAGGGTGGGGAAGGGTCTATACGCTTACGGCCCAGCGACAGAGGCCACCCCCCCTGTTTCTGCTCCGCCGGCTCCTCATGGCGAAGACCTCACCACCAATCACCCAAGTGAGGCGGGCGACCTTTGCTACATCCACCACCCTCTCTTGACACTCGGCACCGCCTACGACGCTGCCTACCATCCCCGCCCACGCAAGAAGCCATCCCACGCGACGACGCAATCGCGGCCGTCTCGTCCCAACCCAGGCGCTTGGGCGTTGACGTCGCGCACCTGCTGTGTTTCACCTTTTTTATTTGCTTCTGGGGTGCGTAGATCAACAAGCCGACACCTCTTGATTCTTTCTCTGCCGCCAGTCATAGTCCCGTCTGTCTATCAGCCAGCCATTCCTTGATGGCATGCGGTTCGGGCCATGAGCCAGCCGGAAGCATCCCGTTTGCGACACGTTGACTTCCTAGCCTTGCTTGACCTCGACCTTCCGCTAGGTGCCTGGGGAACAACATTTGTCGTTGCCATTCTCGCGCGCGAGGCTCGGCTGCACAGGAGCTCGGCTGATCCAGGTACAACCCAAAAACATTGTTGCCCAACCGGACGTACGACATCTGTGTCAATTGGAGAGGCAGGATGCCGCTCATGGCCGCCTATTGCGACCTCCCTCCCCTTTCCCGCTTGATCGCTGGTCAGTCATTACGCCCTGAGGGACGCGTGGCTGGAGGGCGGGCTGAACTAAACCCACAGCACGAGCCGGCCTGCTCGGCAACCGTTCTCGCCGGTTGAAAGTAACAAAAGTCCTGAGCCATCATCGCCATGTCCGGATCGTTGGTCATCAAAGAGATTGGTCTTGCGTCATTATTCATGCGTCGTCTTGTTACCTGTCTAAAGGAGGGAGGGTCGCTCTGGCGGGCAGTTTGCACGCGTCGCTGCCGAGCATCAAAGCTTCCAACCGTCGAGATGCTCGGGCTCCCCTCTGGCTTGTCTGTCTTGCAAGAACCTTGTTAGCGCCTGGAGCAAGGTCCATCGCTGAATGAAGAGAAATCACCCACGACAAAGCAGACTTGATAATGGACATTCGACAAGGCTGATCCTGGCGGGGCATCTGAAGTCTTTGTCAACCCCTGACCCCTGGCTACGCCGCCTCTTTCTTTTCTTCTTGTCCAGTTTCCAAGGTCAGCGTTTCCCGAAAACAGACCCCCGGTGAGGATCCCTAGCCTCAATCGGGCACCGCAAGCGATGGGTTCCTAGCTCAATCTCAACCTCCGCGCACCCGGGTCGGTACAGCGGCAAACGAATTTTCGAGGGGCCCTGTCAGCAACGAATGTTGAGATGCATTGA